AGATTTAACTTGGCTCTAGTGAGAGCGCAAACGTCAGAGATGTGGACAATCCTGCCGCGAAGCCTCGCGATCCGCATGGCCCCGCGAAGCCCCGGGCCTGGCCTCCGCAGTGTACAAGCCTGAGCCTCTACAACCATGTTCAACTGAGTTTCCTTTGGGTTTTCACGTGTCCCAAAAGAATTTAAAGGTTTTCCGAAGCAAATAGATCCCCCAAGTTGCTTCGTATCTGCCCGAAAACGCCTTGGGCGGTCTGCTGAGGAGCCTTGGCACTGCCAAGCGCGGCGGCACACGCGAAGAGGGGTGAGCAGTCCACAAAGGAAGCGATGCCTGCGGAGATCCAGACCGAGGAGTCCATCAGTGACTTTGCCCAAAGTGCTGGGTGTTTTTTTTGCGACCTCACACGACCGATTTCACCCCAAATGGTGTTTTATGTGGGGAATAGCCCCCAAACCACCTTATTTCAGGCTGGTGAAATATTAAAATTCACCCAGAAAGTGGGTGTGTCTGCTGCAAGGATTTGGATCCCCAATAATGATGGTTTTCCTGTTGGTTTTCCTTTAAAACCACAGAAAAGGGTCCCTCAAAACAGGCACGCCCAAGTCGAATTGATATTTTAACCTTTCGGTTTTCCTATGTTAATCCATGTTCGGTTAATTTTGATCGATTGTATGAAAAGGTTTCTCAACTTTGGCTTCCGTGTTTGCTCGACCCAACGGTTTGAGTTTGTATGTCACTTGTGCTGAGGTGAGGAATGGAATCCCGTGGACGTGGGCGAGTCTACCTTGGTGGACCCGAACGATCCCAAGTACAAGCAAATGAGAATCATGGCAGACATGGAAAAGCAGAAAGCCAGGAATGAGGAATACGACAGCATGTCTCAGGAGGAGAAATTGCGAATTCGTTCAAAAAGTGAAGAGGCAAACATCGGCAACTGAGTTCGATTTGCACTTGCATGTGTGCCATTGTCGGCACACCCGTTGGGGTTGGTACGGATTGTAAAGGCCCTCTTGTTTACGTCAACGTTTGGGATCATTTTTTCAAAACAGCAACAAAGCCATTGTTTAAATCCTGGGCGTGAGGTTGTTGACCGAGTTCTTGGGAATTAAGGCGGTCATGACAAGTAGTTCGACTAAGATAATCATGACCATGACCATCTCATCTTGGCAGTTGTGACCATGGAGCATCTGTGTGGTTCGCATTCTGCGCAGGAGAAGGCGCAAAAGATGTGTGAGCTACTGGGCCGTGGGTGTCAGAACATCAGCTGAGGCAGTTTCACTCCTGAGCTTTGGAATAATTCCCTTCGTAAATAGACCCTGGTTGGGGTGCTGAGAGATATGCCAGCGTTTCTGTGGTACAGGTCTATTTGAAAAGGCTTAGCAACAATGACCAATTTGAAGATGGCCGAATCATCCACTGCATTGCACTCGTTGCGCTCAAGCTTTGGAGATCTCCGTACATATGCTAAAAAAAACATGTGCGGCGCAAGCATTGCTTTGCCTCAACTTCGTGTCAGGTGACCGACACATGCATCAACGCGGACTTGGTTCAGTGAATTCTTTCTTTGACCTCGCCATCTAGCCAAGAACTGCCACCATGAGCAAGCTACGACCATTGCAGCTGCCAGAAAGTCCGACACACCGCAGCGCTAGCATATTTGGCATCTCTTTCATGCATGTAGCACCGGAGTGATGAGCTCCACAATGAGTTCGAAGACTTCGGGCGTTCCGGAAGCACATCACCCAGGAGCGTCGATTGCTCACTCCGGCAATTGCAAGCAGACAGCCTCCAAAAGAAGAAGCCAAAAAAGGTTGCCTAGTAAACAATCCCAGACACTCCATGTAGGGAATATTTACCCACATTGACATGTACCCTCCAAATGGGCTTCAAATTTGGTCTATGTTACCTACATGGAGTATGTGGGCATGGTTTGGTAAAAAAAACAAAACAAAAAAACACATGTTTTATACAGCGCCATTTTCTGTGATATCAAGGAAGTCCCCTCGAAGCAGTCATGGCAATCAGCCACTCGGGTGTCACAAGAAGGGTTTTTTCCACCACCACGGGTTGTCCCACTCGCACGCCGAAACGCAAGTCTGATACGCCGTGGTTCGGTTTTTGGGAAGCTTGGTGCCATTTTCACCTTGGAAAGGGGGGAGCTTCCGTTGTGCCATTTTGGGGTCCATATATCCTTCTTTTCTTTTAGTCCAGTGGACTTGAACTCCTCAGTTGTCCAAAGCGAGTCGGCCTTTTGAGCTTTTGGTTTTTCCATGTTGGTCCAATCAAAGTTCATGGCCCCAAAAGGTGGTATCACCTTTTGCCAGCAAGTGAGGTGCTCATTGTTCTCGATTTGTTTGTTAGGGGGAAGCTTCAGCACCTTGGGGAGGTTGGGGGCACGGGTCCAATGGAAAAAACCCGGATAATTCCCTCAGGACTGAGACAGGAGCAGAAGCTCTTCGACGACGCCTGGAAGCTTGGCCACTTGTGTGTGGGCCGTAGCGCATCAGAGGCCACTTGCTGAAGCTGACCCCAAAAAGCGTCCAATGATAATTTGGGAGAGGTGGGGGGTGGGAGTGGTGGGGGTGGTGGGGTGGGGAAGGTGGGGGGAGGTGGGGGAGGTGCGGGGGGGCGGGGAGGGGGTTGTGGGGGGAATCCGCCGAATCTCATTGGTTTTCACATATTGGTGCTTTGATCGCCTTTTATTTCCATGTCCCCTAAGAGGCAAGTGAGACTTTTATTAGATGCAGCTTGGGTGTGTCTCCAAATCGGGGTAGCTCCAAATCGGGGTAGCGCTGCAATTACAAAACACAAAACAGGGGCTGGTTCCCCTAGTTTTCTACAACACTCGGGTAAACAAATTCACTGGCACTAGATGTTGCTGATGTTGCTGGTTTGGATTCGGATTTGATTCCCTGGCTTTTGTACACTGGAAAACCACCCTGAAACACCGCCAAACCACCGGGCTCCACGCAAAAACCCGGACGCTGAATTGGCGGTAAGCCACTATAGTAGGCACCCATGCTGGTTTTCCATTGCGTGGAAAACCCCTAGTTGCCTGCAACACGCAGATGGATCCAAGTCCACATCCCCACCCCTATCGAATTGCCCCCCCACCCCCCCCCCCTTATGGTAGCGCATGTTTCAGGAAGCAGCAGGGCACGGTGGACCTGGAGCGCTCCGGTCTCAACGTGGGATTCTCCGACTCCGTTTCGGACGCTGAGAGCAGTGGCTCTGAATCTACCCGGGGCGCTGTGGGCAAGGCCGGTGTGCAGCTCGTGCCGATGTTGCTTTGCAAATGGACTCCCCTGCAAATTGACATGGAACCCAAAATGTGGAGGTCCCCAAAATTTAGGGTTTCCAAGCAGTTTCCCATTTTGGAACCTCCAAGAGCGGCGATCGTTTCAGTGGAAACCACCAGCCAATTGATCAAACCCCCGCAAAAAGGAGGTTCCGCGAAAAAGGATGTTTTTGGGGGTCCCATGTAAAACAAAAAAAAGCAGGGGGCTTGCGGCTTTCCCTCTTTCAGCTTCGCTCGTTTTTGATGGAGTCCGGTTTTTAGTTACCCTCAGAGCTAGGGGTTAAAATTCCGAAACAAAATCCAACCCACCACAAGGGTTACCGACTTTTGGTTTCCAATTGAACCACGCAGAAGCGGGGACCAACTCCAGCCCAGGTCCGTGGTGCGACCGAATGGCGGAGAGACCTGTTGGAAACACGCGGGTGTTTCCGTAAACCTACGACCTTTTAGCCTCAGGGGGACTCGGAGCAAGCCAGATTTGAAGGGACAGGTGCGAAATTGGGGTGAACAAACTGGATGGCGGACTGTGAAGGGAAACGAAGCGGAGGTTGGCTTCCGCAATTTTAGTGCATGGTTTAAACAAGCTGAGACAGTTTGGCGGTTTGAAAAAGATGCGACCTTTTGGTTTGCCTTCAAATCAAAGCAAAAAACCATTACCCCGGCCAAAAACGATTCATGACTCAAATCACTCAATCCCCAAAATGGCTTTCCTGTTTCTAGCCGGGTTGCAAGGCAACTGGTTCAATCCATTGTTTGACTGCGCTTAAGCAAGGTTCCTAGATTGAAGTAGATTAGATATACAGGGACGGACCAGCAGTTTGTTTGGACAACCTTTTGTTTCTGGCAGGAGGCTAGCTTTCGCTCGACTTCAAGGAATGGCTATGGTCATAGAGCTTTTAACTGGTTTTCAAGATTTGGCCCCAACCGGTGATTTCCCGCATAGCTGGTCATCTGGCTATGGAGTTGAGAGTTGGAACGGTGTCGACCAAGCGCTCGGGACCCATGAAGATTCATAGCGCTGGCACTGGCAAGGCCGTGCAGAACTTCTTTTGGGCCGAGATGAAACACAAGGCGGAAGGGATTATGCAAGGGAGTCTTTTGAGGAACATCGGTGTCCTTTGTGGTTGTTTTGGTGGAGCATAGATGCCTTTGGTTTTAGTTGTTTCATCATTTATCAGAACCATCTATTTTCCAAAAGGACACCTATGTCAAGGAAATGCCCTTTCGCTTGGTAGTGAGGGCAAGCCAAAAGGCCAACCCCTATTTTTGTGAAATGGGTTCATTTGACACTTTGCAGGGATCCTTCATTTGAGAAACATCCATGTGCCCCTTTTGTGGTGGGGGGGGGGGGCAAACCTGGCAACCCGCTGGTTGCTTTGAAAGGAACACCAAAAGGAAGGCCTTGCCATTTCGTGGGGCTGGCGTTTTTCGTGTTCGGACCGGAAGAAGAAACGACATGGCGGCGGTTGGGCCGTCTGCTTTGACAAGTCACCAAATGGGTGTGTTCTTCAGTGTGGGGGATATCCTTCTTGCTTGTTGCGGAGGCAAGTGTGAAGCCGCAAGTTTGTGGGATACAATGCGGCACGAGGTGGGACAATTGAGGGAGACCTCACCAAAAATCCTGGGACCGTTTTGGGATGATTGGAAGGCCTAGATTCGGCCTAGATGAACCTTCATGGATGCATCTCAGAATCAAAAGGCCGGGGGGTCAAAGGGCGCTCACACTTGGCTAAATCAAAGCATCCGGCAGTCTACGGTTAAGTCGGGAGGAACATGGGGAACTCACTAAATTCCGCACAAATATCAGGGCTCTCTGAGTTACTCGCTTCAAGCAGGGTAACAAGATATGTTTTTGTCGGCAGGCGACCCTGTTTTTCAACGATGGTCGGGCGGGTTTTGTCTACCCCTTTAGCGGAAAGCTGGGCAATGTGTTTCCTCTTGAAAGCAGTCCAACAACAGGGCGACTTCCACGTTGTTCTCCTTCGAGCCGCACCACCTCCCTTTGATTCCCGTTAAACCACCCTAAAGAGAAAATTTCCCCGCAACCCCGTGATTCCCCTATTACAACTTTCGTTTGGTTCTCCTGTAAACGCCAAAAATCGGCAATTGGTTCCCTTTTGAACCACCCAATGGCAACTTCCCTTGGTTCGCTTTAGCCCCCCAAACAAAAGGCATCGTCCCCCCAACAAACCGTTAGTTGCCAACGTCCCCCCCCCCCCCGCGCCAAAATCGGCAACTTCCCCACCTCTGGCAGGTGTAGTACGCCTGTTTCTTCCCCTTCCACCAACCCGCACAAAAGGGGTGCACGCCAAAGGCAGCACCTTTCGTTTCAGTCCCCTTGAAACCAACAAAACCAAGCAAAGCAACTTCCCCAAGCCCCGCAGGATTTCGTTAAAGCTGGTGCGTTTCCTTTCCCAACAATCCGACCTCAAAGTGCCCGGATTTTCCTGGACACCCCCCCTTTTGGTTGGGTTTAACGAGAAGCCAAAAGGAGACCGTTCCATTTAATATCCCTTCCCCATGCGACCCTTTCAGGGTGCCCTCCGACCAGCCAGCCAGCCAACCAACCAACTAACCACCCAACCAATAAGGAAGCAACCAGCCCAAACAAGAAGCAACCGACCCACAAAGAAGCAATCAACCCACAAAGAAGCAACCAACTTAAAACAAAAAAAGCAACCCACATCAAACCCAACAACAAAAGAAGTGCCGTTTTCCGACCTTTTTAAACCGACGGGCCCTTTTGACCCCTGCCCCCACTAGCGCCGGCCAGGTGGTGAAGAAGACGAGGCACCTGGCCCTCGCCACCCGGACCTTGGTGCAGGCCCATGGGCCTCCCACCGCCTCCGCCGCCAGCGCCGGGAAGGGCAAGCTGAACACCAAGCGCCCCCGACCGCAAGCTATATGTGTTGGATATGTGTATACATAAATACATATATATATATATACATACATATATATGTATATATATATATATACTTGGTGGCTCCCAGCCATCCGGTTCCTTTGCTCTTTAGCCTTTTAGTGTTTAGAGGTAACTTCCATTTAACCCACTAGAAGTTAAACTTTTAGCGGGGGCTCAGAGGACAGCCCAGTGTGTGTACATATATATATATAATATGTGTTTGTTTGTCTTTTCCATTTCCTGAAGTGATTCTATTTATGTTGTTTTTCTTGTTTGTTTTAAACAAGCATTTGTCGTTCCCTTGTTTGTTTTTAAGGGAATCATTTTCACTACTGGACAACATAATTGTTTTCTCAGTGACCAGCAGTTTGGGATTGTTAATCTTGGATGCGTGTTCTGTCCATAGATATTTTCTGACTCCTTGTTCTGATTTCCTGCACGCGTTTTTTGTGTGGTAAAGAATGGGTTTTCACCTTTTGTTGGCCCATCTAGTCAGGAAGTGAGTTGTGGCAATAGAAGACCGCCACCTTCTTCAGGTCCAACAACCTTCCAGTGGAGGTCCTTGAATGGAGGGGGCAATGATGCGCAGGATGTGTTCCTGTGGTCCGGGGGTGAGCGAAATGGTTGACAACCCTAGCAAGGGTTTATAGGGGTCCCCGCATGGGTGGCTCCTTTTCTGTGGGAACCAAAAGCAGTGTAGCCTGTTTTTGGGGGCGGCTCCCGAGTTTCCCGTTGGTTTCCCTTTTGATTTCCCAGGTTTCATGAGCCCCACAAAATTGGTGTCATTTTTTTGAGGGTGCCCCTGTTTGGTGGCTTTAAAGGGAAACCACAAGGACAACGAAGCCATTTGTGGGGTTCCCCAAAGGGAGAGGCGTTTTCGTCGGAAAACCGACGAAAACGACACTCCGCTCCAGGTTCGACAAGCGAGTGGCCGGCAAGCTGCAGAGACTCGAAAGCCAGTTGAGCCGCCAGACCCGGGAGACCTCGCTCATCAAGGCGCGAACAAGAGGAGATGTGTTGATTCCCTTATAAACGTGGTTTCAAGGAGGCAGTTTCTAGAGCTAGATCAAGTTATGATCATAGATGTGTACATGTTTGCTCGCCCCTTGTTTCTTTCATTCACTTATCACCTGTTAAAGGAAAGGGCCTGGCATATCGATGGCTTCTGGAAAGTCAGATGGAGTCGGCCGAAACGAGAAGAGTTGGAGCGAGTGCAACGGTATCTGTCACTTTCATCCACTGACATTGGGCGCACTCACAATTTCCATCAGGACATGGGGGGTTACTCACCTAAGTTCCCGGGTCAATATTGATTGACTGTGGCTTAGCAGTCGCAAAAAGGGATGCACCAGAGAACACCCAGCCTGGAGAGCGCATGTAAAGCCCATGTTGCGCCGATTTCCCGGTTAGCTTACCAGAAAACGCCCAACTTCCAAGGCAGGGCTCCTCAAAAGACACACTGTGGCTATTTGCAGCATGACTGAGTCATTCCAAAGGTAGTTTTCTGATTTGAGATGGATAATCTAGGACGTCCCCCCAAAAATATATATGAACAAAATAAATAAATAAAAGCGGAAAAACTCAATCCTCCCCTTGCTGGTTTTCATTTTGGTATCCCCTGAAACCAGCAGTGTGTGTGTGTGTGTGTTTTTCGAGGGCACGCTCTCCTCATGCGCAAGTCAGAGCCCCAGCTCCTTAGAAACCAGGTTCGGCCCATTGGTTGGCTCTCTGAATTTCATGCGATTCTTTGCCACCAGCCAGCGCAAGTAGTTTCTGGTGTCATGTAGGGGTTACAAACCTTTATCGCCAATTCATGAAAGTCCATTGGCTTCGACCAGCTAGCAGCCTAGCAGCCAGGAGCACGCCAAGCTGAAGCTTCTGGAGACCTCTGCGCCCATGCGCGCAGAGCTCATGGAGAAGCTGCGGGAGCTCATGAAGCAGCGGATGACGATGGACCGCGTTCCTCGCCTTGGGTTTCTGTCGATCGATTTTGAGCGAGATTGAGCGATCGAGCGAGACGTGTCGGCGCAAAAGGGGTGGTTGTTCCAGTAGAGTCTCAGCCAATCACTGGTTTTGAGGGGATAGTACCAGCAGGGTTTTGGACATGGGAGAAAGCAGTTGTTGGGGGGGAGGAGCGTGCTGGTTGACGTGAAGGTGAATTTCCGGACGATAGTTCATTGTTCTTGGGATCAACAAGGAACTTTGGTTCATGGGGGGAAACGAACCCCGGTTGGTGGTGATCAAACACCATCTTATGCAAAGGCCAATGTAAAGCGAGTTTCCTTTTGGTGGGGTGATGAGGGGAAATCTGGGGGAAGGCCAGTTTACAGCGAGTTTGGGTTGGGGGTGGGAGGGTGGTGCTATGAGATTTGTTGTTCCGTGTGAGCATTTCAAGCACGCGAAATCGGCTCTGGAATTTGACCCGAAGGCCCTTTTCAACAAGGTGTTCAACGGCATTTCAATGTTGGAGTTCCCGATGCTTTGCTTGGGGTTTGCCCTGCACAAATCTTGCTTTAGTTGTCGTCATTGAATACCCCAGAGGGGTCCAGTTTCAACTTTACTTGACTCTCCAGAAATCCTCGCAGTAAATACGGGAACCACACTCCGATCATTCCCTATGCGGATTCATTTGTGGTTTGGAACTGGTCATTCCAGACTCACTGAGAACAAGAACTCGCCATTGATTTTCGGTTTGTGGATATCCATGTGGGTGCCTTTTTTTTCGGGCCTACACAAATGGTTCCTTTTGGTTTCCTAAGCCAACCATACCCCAAAACAAGGCACCCAGATAGAGTTCCATGCTACGGGCTTCTTGCTGCGAAACGGATGGGCGTTGCCCCTTTGGTGCTCCGAAAAGTGGCAAATCCTTTGCGAGCCCTGGAGGGGCGACCATTTTGAGCTTTGGTGCCAGTTTTCTCAACCGTGGCCAAGGGGTCTGAAGAAAATTCGGATCTGGGCGACGTTCCAAGGATATGTGGAACTGCGTGAAGTCCTTTCTCTACTCCATGGTGGACAGCGTCTGGGAGGATGTAGAGAAGGAGAATTCAGAATGCGCCATGTGTTCGGTCGAAACCACAAAAAATCCGGACGGATCTTTGATCTTTCCATGTCTTCGAATTATTAACCCCCAAATTGGTGGCGTTTCCATCAAACAACACAACCCCATGTCCTTCAGGGGAAACAATTTGCGTTAGCATGTCTCACGTCGAGGAGTGTTGATTGGAGCGGGATCCCTGAAAATACATTGGGTTTTGGCCAACGGCACAAACTCCTTCATGTGTTTGGTTCTGTGAGAAAAGCCGTTTCTATGACGCAGAAAGGACACATTTGGGGCTGGCTAAAGGCAAGAGGGAAAAAACACATGCACCTGTTGATTTCGTGGACCGGATCGATCAAGTCGTCACGGGAATCACCCATAGGTATCGCACTATCACAAAAACGCACTTTTTCCACAACAACAAGCATCAGCTTGCCATGTGTAATTGACCCGGTAAGATGTCCAGGAAGTCAAGAATCAACATCAGCTGTTGGTTGCGAACTGCTAAACGACCTAGATGGGTGTATGTGTTGGAGGTACCATCTTGGGGTGGGTTCTTTCCGACGCCAACCGGAGCACGGAAATCCAGTCTGCCTGCAAATCCCATTGTGGCATCTGGATCCAGTGAGGAGATCGAGCTGAACGTGGAGTTGGCGTGGCTGAAGTCCGACCGCGCCACGAAGCAAAATGGGCCCGTCACCAGTTGGCGCTGCTACGACTGGCTGCGCCGCAAAGTGCTGCGCCACTACCTCCCCTACGATCGCTCCATCTTCGGCAAGCTGAAGCTCAAGCCTTTGCCGAAAGCATTCGATTGGCGGTTCCCCATCTCGTTCCTTAGAGGTGTTCTTGCTTCTTGTTAGGTGTCCTCGGTATTTTGGGTTTGGTAGCTTCCGCTTTTTAAACCACTACTCTTTTTTTTTTATCAGGGGATCCGGGAACAGCCCAGTTAGTTGTTTGATGTTTGTTGAGGTTTTGACTCCTTGACTTCGCCCAAAAACATTGACCTTGTAACATGAATCACAATCACTGTTTCCTCGCTCATCGACAATCACGTCAACATCCAAAGTTGTGCGTGTGTTACCCAAAGGGAAACCAACACTTGTTCATGTTCCCAGACCGCCTAGCTGGAAGAATCCCCACTAAAACAACAAAAATGTGATTGTTTGTTTGTTTCTTGGCGTCCAAACACTTTTCGTGTGTGTATTTTGAGGGTCCTTTTTTTGGGCAGGCAACATTCAACAGGAAAGCCTATGTTGACAGACCCATTTTCTGTGGGTCAACATCAAACCACCAGGAAACAACAGGTTTTAGTCCACGTGTCTCTTTATCCCAGGGATTCATTCTGGGCTACTTTTGAGCCACACCCATTTGGCTGTGGCTCAAAACTATGTACCAAAATGGCACCTTGGCAAATGGGACCAACGACTAAAACCTGCGTAACCCTACCTACAGTCTCCATGACCCCTAGAAAAAGGGGTCATGACCCCTTAATTTCAGGCCATGACCCCATTTTTGAAGGGTCATATAAAGTCTAGGTACCTCTTTCATGTGGAGCCACACCCATTTGGAGAGGAAGAATCCTTTGTACCTGGCGCTCACCCTGACGATGCTGGTTCCCAACGCCGGGTTTCGCGTCAGCGTCTTGTCGGTGATCCTGGGCTTCATTCTGGTGCCCGGGCCGCCGGATGAGTTTCAGCGCTTCGGCGGGCAACACCAGTACCAACTCGAATGGGTCTGGGTGAGTTTGCACCACCTCACAGGACCGATTTCACCCCAACTGGTGGTTGATGTGGGGAATGGCCCCCCAACCACCGCAAGTTTCAGGCTGGGGAAACATGTTAATTCACCCGGATGGGTGCGAAAGCAAACAGCGTCCGGTAGGTTCGTGACCAAAATAAGCCATTCTGCCATACCACTTCGAATGGGTGTGGAAAGCCAAGGTCAGGTGGCTGGCAACCATGGTGAAATAAGAGGGTAACTGGGGTGATCGTCCCCTTGCAGTGCCAGGATTACAACCTACTTACCAAGTTGTTGAACGGTCAAGTTGGCAACCAGGCACCCCATGTATGAATGGTTTGCCCACTGCAAACAGGCTGAATGAATTTGTTTGCAGTGGGGGTCCGCCTGCTTTTCTCCGGGCTTTGGCCCCGGTGACCAAAATATGCCGAGATGGACGGCCCCCACAACAGCCGAATCTTCGGAACCCTCCCTGAAAGCTGCACCTTCCAGCCGAGTTCTGGGCCTATCGACCCCGAAACGCTCTCGGCGGTGGGGGAAACACTATACCCTAGACATCAAAAAATTGGAAGACTCGCAGCTGGGGAGAACTGCACCCTAGACATCAAAAATACTTTGGAGACAAGAGTTTAGAGTTGGAACTGAGGCTCATCAACTTCATCCTGCTGTCCAAGGGGACCCAGTTCATCACAGGAGACCCGGCTCGTTGGTCGCGAGGGCCCGATCCCTTTGGGTTGGTACCCATTAACGCCCACGTGTTAAGTAGGGGGGGTGTTGTGAACAATTGTTCTGGTTGATCCATCCCCTTTTGGTCGCTGAAGAAACTTAAGGACCACCACAGAATCCTTGTTCAAGCAACTGTGGCTGTTTTTAGGGTAAAGTGTATGCAAAGAAGCAAGCGATCCGAATCCAGGTATGGGCTATTTAGCATCCAGAGGAGGGGGTTGGCACACGCCTGATTTGCGAACCTGAAACGTTTGGGTTGTTTGTGACCCTGAAACCCCGAAAGATGATGGATGATGCCTCGAGGATTTGATGTTTTTTTGCGGGTCACTGCCTCAATGGTTTTGCCTGCGGCAGTGGGCGTAATGACTCCACGTGATGGGGTCAAGCGGGTGTTCCCTTGGGCGGTGGATGCACTCGTTTGTTGCTATGTGGGTCTCTGGCCGCTGGGACAGTTTCAGGGACGCTTTCTGACCAGGGTGGGGGCCCGGGCATAGGGGTCCTTTTTGGTTGGTTTGGCTGAACAAAGCATCGGGCCCTGGTTTGCCTGGTGGTTCAATCATCTCCCAGGGCTCTCTTCAAGAAACACCCCCTAGCGGGTTCATCACACGGCAGTTGGGTCCTCATCACGTACTAGTGCCAGACGTTTTTGTTTTGTTTTGTTCTTTTGTTTTCTCGAAAAGGGGGGGGGTAGCCCGTTGCAACCCCTTGGCCCCCTCCAAAAATCGAAGCCCGGCGCGGGCATTTCGCATCTCGATCCCAGGCCCAGGTTTTCTTTGGGATGGAGCTTGCCTTTGAGCTCTGCAACAGCTCACTCTCCCAAAGCCGACCTTTTAACTTGTGGTTTTGCTGGTTTGGTCCATATTTAGTCATGGCACCCACATTTCAATGTTGGGTCCTTTGGACAAGTAAGACCACAGAACCATATCTTTACCTATAGGAAAGGTCCTAAACCAAGCAAAGATTGGTTGGCCTTGTTTGGCCTCTTTACCCAGGTCGCGGCTCGTTTTGCGCTTCCAGGAGGCTTGGTCAGCATGGGTCAGGGCGCCGCCATCTACTTCGGTTGCTTCAACTGGTCGGAGGATCACTTGACCGACTGCATCGCAAACCGCGGGCCTGGGAAGGCGATCGGTGACCCATTGATCGGTTACCCCTGGGGTTCAGTTATTATTGGCAAAACCATGGAGTTTCAATTAAACCACCGGTGTTTTCCTATGGATTGTCACTTTAAATGGAATTTGAACCCTAGGGGTTAGTTTGGTTGGAAATAGATGGGTTCCACTGGCTGAGATTCTTCCTTTTGCTGAAAATAATATGTTGTATGTCCACCTGTTGGTGTTCAAAGGACTCGATTTCACTAGGACATATGTTTTTTTATTTCTTCCAAGCGGCTGGAGCAAAATGGAAGGATTTTCGGTTTAAATGCACGTCTATTTTTTCCATTGGTCGCCTATGGCGAAATTTGCGTCGATTTCCGATAACATTATCCAACATTGGCCCATGAAAGTCGGTACCCGGTCGATGTGGGCATGAGTTTGAATCCTGGATTTGTGTTTTTGTCCACTTTCTGGTGAATATGTACATGCGGATTGATGTCCAGCCATGATTTTGACACTACCAACCATGATTGTGAGACGATGGCTTGGATGTTTATTTGAGAACCGCCTCAAAAATGGCTGGTGGACATGATTCCCTACCTCAATGATGATGTCCACCATTTTCTGTCCCAAATTAGGACCCATACGCATAGAAAGCTTCACACCCAGGTAATTCACCAAACGCACGTCACCTCGTGCAACTTTTTTTCTAAATTTATCATACATACCTGGACCCTCAAACTTCCCTTAAACATGGGTTGTTGCCCCAACATGATGGGGCGAGTTCCCTTTTTTGCGGGCAGCTTGAGTGTCCAGGTATGTGTATACACATATTTATATATTATACGTCTTATATTAGGATACATATATGTATATATATGTTTGCTTGTGTTTTTGATTTTGTCTTTTTCCGCATAGGTGTCCTCCCTGACGGGTGAGCTCGCGGACTACCTGGGCTCCGTCCTGCTGGTCTGGGTTGCTTTCCTGGCCCTGCCTTTCGCGCAGGAGAGATCCGCTTTGGCGAACGGCGAAAGGCGGAAACTGGGCGCTGCGGATCTTCCTCCATTTGCTGAAATTTGAATTGGTTTGGTTTGGGTTGGTTTGGTTTGGGTTGGTGTGGTTTCTTCCATTTGCTGAAATGAACATGTCTTATTTTTCCCTCCTTGGTTTTAAAGGGAATCTATCACTACTGGAAGTGTTTGTATTTCTCCCTCTTGGTTTTAAAGGGACTCGAGTTCACTGCTGGAAATATTTGGGGCTTAAGCAATTGGAAGTTCTGGGGGAAACTGGGAGCCACAAATGGAGGTTCAAAGGGTAACTAGATGTAACCAGTTCAAGATGGAACTTCCAGTGCAGGCGTTATTGACTGCACTTGCGGAATAGACGGAGGAAGCCAGCAGGTACCCCGACTTGGTTCCCAATTGTGGCAACCAACGGTGTTTCAAACCAGAGATGTTTCAACACGTTGGATGCTCGCAGTTGAACCAAGTTGCTCACTGGAAGCCTAGTGGCGCCAGCTGTTTGGTCGTCTTTGCCATCTTTGCCAGGTTTCGAGAACCCCAAACCCCGATAAGACGGGGTGTCCCATGGAGTCGCCACAGACTTGGGCCCAACTTACTGACAGGGGTTCCATGACCTTTGGCCATGAAAAAGGAAACTAGCAGGGGGTTGGGTCGATTAAACCTGCAGATTCGGTTTCAGCAATCAATGTCTCGTCATCCCCCGGAAACTCAAAAGAGAATCAAGCAGGTTGGTGATTGAAGCAAAGGTTTTAACATGTGGGTGTGTCAAACCTGGGGACCCCCCGAAAATCGTGATTTTGGTGGTGGTTTCCCTTTTCACCAACCCTCAAACGGCTATACCTCCAAATCCTACGCCAAAATTGGACCAGAGGAGCACCGCCAGCAAAAGCGGGAGTCCACTCGCCGGAACAACGCCGCGGAGTCTTGCGAGAGCCCCAAGCGGAAGTTCGGAGGGCGCCTAGCGAATCTGCTGCGTTACGACGTGGGGTGTTTCATGCTGTCTCTGCTGGTGCTCTTTACGCTTACGGCGGGGAACCTGGAGAATAGAACCTGGGCAGACAGAAAATGGCAGCTCCGTTTGTTGGTTATGTTTGTTGATGTTAGAGCCGACCATGTTTGGCGGGGGTGTGCCCGGAAATCAACTGATTATCCTCCTGTCCACTAACATGAGCTCCCGAGAGGGTTCCGAAAAAATGTACATTTCTCCCCACGGCCACTAGGCTTTGCTCAAACATCCGGCGGGCCTTCGGGTGAGCCACGAAAGAAAAAAGCAGGACGTAACGCAACCGAGTTACACGGTAATTTCACCCACCTGCGGCCATGTTGGGTGGAATATCTTTGCTTCCCTTGAAGCCTGGTTGTCTGTTTGGTAGTTGGGGACATCTCAGGAGAGACGGAAGTGCACGCCTCGGCTTACCGACACTTCCAGGAGAATATCTTCTGGTGCAAAGTTCTGTACTCCTTGCTTTCGATGCCTTTCTCTTTGTTTACCATACAGCCCTTGCAACAAGTCTTGACGCATACTGCGCCCACCGGTTTCAATGAGTTTGGCGCCTGCGTGCCTTTCTGCATGCCGGAGGCATGAGGAAAAGAAGAGCGGTTGGCATGCTTCTTCGGCTTTTTGAAGGGACCGGCTGAGCATGTGTGTTGTTCACGTTTTTTCTGCGGACATCAATGCTCTGTAGCTGTAGGGCAGATTTTGTCTCAGATTCAAGATAAACCCATGCCCGTTTTGTTCTTCCAGTGACCTCAATTGAGGCGGAGCTTGCTTCCCAACTTGGATCAACCAACTTAGCAAGCAAGTTGCAACCATGTTTCTTTCGTTGGGGCAACTGGGGTTAGTCCCCTGAGGACTCGGGATAGAACCTAGTTGCTAAGTCGGTTGAACACCCAAGAAGCGACCCACCGGAGCACTCCAGCACTTACCTTGGGGAAGCCTCAATTGTTTTCCGGTTGATTTGCCATGGCGCTGACCAGCTCACCGAAAGCGAGCGGCTCGGCAAGTTGATTCGTACAGATTCGGTTCGGTGACTCTGTGACTCTGCGACTGTTTGCTGTCTAAGGACGCCAAGGATCCAAGGAGGAGAAAAGCTCCAAGAAGGGCTGGGGCAGTGAGAAAGGTGCGAAAGGCATCAAGAAGAGCGCCAAAAGTTCGAGGCAAAGCGCCACGAGCCCGAGGCAATGCACCAAAAGCAGGCATGCCAAAGGCTGGAAGCATGGTGGTAGCTGGACGCAAGGCGGCAGCTGGAAAGGCGCAAAGACCTGGAAGACCGAAGGAAAGCGAAGCGACTGGAAAGTCGCCGGATGGAAGGGCGCGCCTGAAGTCTCAAGTGCAGGCTGGGCACGGAAGCCAAAAATACGGACTGTGTGATCAGGTATGGTTCCGTGTTTCTTAGGCCTGTTGTAGGGTCCGGGACTGAGGAAGTCTCTCTCTCTCTCTCTCGCTGTCTCAGGCAACTTGGATCGCCGGCGCCCGCTGGCGGATCTGATCGACTACGCACGTTCCTGTTCCAAGGCTCTGGACGGGCTGTCCGGCCAGGAGGCGCCGGCGAGCAGATGTCTCTTTGCCAGGTGACCCATTTTTCATAAGTCAAAGCAAGTCAAAGCCAGAAAGAAGGAATCATTTTATTGCGGTCCGGGCCATCGGGTGTGACCTTTTCAGGCCCAACATGAGAGAGCGTTTTTTGGCGGTGAATTCGGCTTTTGCCATGCCTAAGATCGAGCTCGGAGTTCCGACGAGGAGCAGCTGATGTCGACCAGGGCTTTGGAGGAGATGGGGGAGCGGCTTCTGCTGGTGGCTGCGGACCAGAGAGGCTCCAAGCCCTTGGAGAAGTTGATCAAGAAGGCCATCGGGGTGATGTGGCTTTTGGTCAAAACCAATGGAATCCCATTTTAGGGTAGGTGAATTCACCACCAACTTTTATGTCAATTTTAGTGGGAATTGGGATGTTCACTGGGGGTACGGGATTTTGACCCATGGCCATGTGCGCACCTGACAAAATTAGGTATGCGTCAAACTATCTACGGCTTGATACCCCATTCTTTTTAGCCATTGCTCTTTTTTGTTTTATTTTGAAGTTCTGGAGGTCCCTGAAAAGAATTTGAAAGGTACCCCTAGAAATAGGAGAACCACGCATTGTTTTGTTTGGCTCCCCTAAAAACCAAGCTGAAAATCGGCACCTCAAAATTCCCAGGTAGGCTCCGGATATGTGGGGCTCCCATTCTGCAATGAACGTGTTTGTTCAATTCAGGATCCTGTGCTGTTTACTTCTTGTTGTTTGTAAGGGTGGGGAGGGAGTCCGATTTTGTCTATTGTAGATGTTTCTTTGGAAAGAACAGAAAGTCTCACATTCCAGTTAAAGCAAATGGCGCCCTGTGATAGGTCGGCTCCCTCAGGTTACGCTGCCAGAGTTGGCCTTCCCGATCCCTGAACCAGGGGTCAGGCTCAGGTTGCTCCTTTTCCGGGCTGAATGTAGAGCACCGGTTGGGGTCCTCTTGGGATGATTCAAACATACACCATCTTCTCTCGTTTTTCAGCCAACCTTCCCTGAAGCAACGCTGAAGGCTGACTTTTTCCAGCAGATTCAATACACCAACACTCAAGCCAGGCGTTTTTGGGGACGCTTTTTGTAAAGCCAAGCCTTCCGCAGGCGGCGTCGGAGGGGTTTCTTGCAGCCTTCAAGAGGCTGCTGGATGACTTGGATAACTTGGCGCCCAACCAATACGCCTCGCACGTCCTGGAGACAGCGCTCAAGTCTTGGGCGGAACGCTTGGGACAGGAGACCGACCGGATCCAACCTGCCTGGCCAATTGGGAGACTTGTCCCACGTGGCATACACATCGCGTCCCATGTAAATGACCTGGTGATCAAGCCCTGACAGAATTACCTGTCACATGACAGGGGGGCCTTGACTTGCTTATAGCCAGCTTGTGAGCCACATAGACAGGAGTTGTTGATTCATACCATCATACCTGATCCAGCACTTCCCATTCTCCCCCTTTCCATTTTCTAGAAGTCATTCGAGGACAATTGGGAGTTTGGCCGCCGAAGTTTGCCAGGAGAAGGATCCGGAATTCTTCAAGCCCATAGTCGCGACCTGCAACAAGGCGGGGGGATTGTGGTTGTGGGGTCTAGAACTCGGAATTGTCAGGCAGCAAAACTCGTGGTTTGGATTGGGATTTGAACTCCAGTTCCTGTTGAAACCAACATGGGAAAGTGAAAGGCCCCCCCTGTCCCAAACCAACGCACCAAACCCACCTCCCTGAGTTCCTGGACTTTAAGCTCTCGGCCAGACCACTAGTGGTGAACAGCAACTTTGGGCCGTTTTTTGGTTTGCCAGTCCACTCATCTGGGTGAAGAATAACAACCCCAAACGACCTCACCCCGCCCCCAAACCACCTTATTTCAGGCTGGTGAAATATTATAATTCACCCAGACTCATGAAGTGAGAATTCGAGGGAAGCTGAACTCGGGCCCCGACCTGACCCCGACCTGAGGTGCAGGAGGAGGGCTCGTGGGACTCCTTGATGAACAGCCCCTGCTCTGCGCACGTGGTGCGGGGCTTGCTGATGGCCCTGGGTGGCTACGCCCCAGAGACCTGGCAAGGGGCGCCAGTGGCGTAGAAACAAAAAGGGGAAGCACCAGGACTTTTCGGCAGACCACGCAACAAATGTGTTTGTCAAGCAACAAAAAAGGGCATGTATAGGGACTGGAAAGTTTTAATGAGTCTCCTTTCGCTTTAATTACTCATGATTTTGATAAGAGCTCAAGGAGGAGGTTTCAAGAATAGAGAGGGTGCCAACTCCTATTTTTCTCCATTAAGAACGAGCTGAGGAGACTGACAAAGAAAAGGCCGCGAGGGCGGGGTTGCTGCCGCAGACCAAGCATGAAGTTCCTCCAGACGCCCAGACACCCACAGGCAGCCTTTTTCACCCTCCTGTCCAAATGGAACCAGAGGTTGAGGGGTCTTTGAAAGCGACCATTTCTTTGGTTCCGTGATAGTGGACAGAAGGGTACTTTTATTATTTTTTGGAGGGGGGTTCCCTTTAAATTCAACCACCTCCCTTAAAAATCCCTTCAAATTCCCTTTAACAAGAGAGTCCCTTTTTGCTCCATGTTTAAACTGCGCTCAGGAAGTCGTGGAGTGCAGACGCCAGACAGCTGCCAGTTTGATCAAGCTGATCCGACTAGACAGCAGCCTGTGCCTGAGCTCGCACGCGAGTCCAGTGCTGCAGCTCCTGCTGCGATTGCTGCGAGACTGCCATGACCGCGCCCTGCTGGCGGAAGCTGCTGGGAGAGACAGAAGCCGTTTTGTGTTTTCTTAGTTCAAGTGGCCGCCCTGGTTTTTTCTCCTCCATCCCTTTCAACCAGCCAAAGGCTCACTCTGCCAAGGCGCTTGGCTTTGGTCAAGAGGTGGTTTCCCTGCTTTCCCTCCTTTCCCTCCAGCAAAAACATCGCCGGATTCATCTCTCAACTTCTGGATTTGTCCGGCCGAGGCTTGTGCTGCAGTGGTGGGGGCCAAGGCTGTGACCGGGCCCCCGTGTTTGGAGCGCTGCGACGCGCTGCGGAGGTCGGCCCCCGGCTCGCGAGTGCTGGAGGCGGACGTTTTGGACCTGAGAACCCGGGCGCGTCCCTAAAAGCGACGACAGACACCACAAGGTGCGTCCGCTGGAGTTGGCGGTTCTAAAGGAAAACCACAAACACAATTTTGGGCGGGGTCACCGAGAAAAAAAGTGAGCGTCACACACCCAACTGGTCCAGTCCAATATGTACAAAATCAAGAGGCCGCAGATCCGCGCCGTTTTTTTGTGTGGCTGGGACCTGCACCTGTCAACGGATTTTCATGTGGCTCATCTTACATCTCTGCCCTTGACTATGAAAGACTCAATCCTTAAAGTGTTAAGTTTGGTGAGTTGGTGAACCAAGTCATTGTTCCACAGCTCATTAAGTGAATGCCCGAAGAAAGGGTATCACCACAGAAAAAGAGCATAGCGTTCTCTAGGGAAATTCCCAATCTCTTTTCGAGGCACCACTTGTAAGGGGCGAGTCACCCTGACTTGAGGGATCTGGTTCCTTTCCCTTTCCCCCTGGTTCAGCGGAGTTGGAGCAAGAAATACCTGAAGGTGTCCTTCGAGTGGATCTGGATTTCATAAACTTTGTTTGGTTTCCTTTCAGATTTGGAGATCCTCTTCAGGGAACGCTCCAGTGATTCCCTGTGGATGAAATCCTTCAGATTGATGAAACCCGACTTGCATACTAGTTGGTAAACTGCGAAAATCCATTAAGGAGTGGTGTGCCCCCAAAATAGTGGTGTTCCTTTTGGTTTTCCTTCAAAGCCACCAAACAACCTGAAACAGTCACAGCCATAGGTAACTTGGTTTGCGTAGAAATATACGGGTTCCACTGGTTTAGATTGGTTTCTTAAGCCATTTACCACAAAAAAAACAACAACAACAACAACACCTCTAGTTTACCAAAAGTTAAAGCATTTAGCAGGGAAACCCAGCTAATTTGCCCAAAGTTCAGACCATTTACCAGAAACAACCATCTACTTTTTGTTTTAATCAAAAGAACACCTATGGTCTTGAAATCGCATCAATTCGCAAATGGATCGATCGAACCGATTCGCTTCGATCGAGATGAGAGGCGGTCCTGGAGACCAGTGGCGCGGAGCTTTTTGGGGAGCTCTTCGCGCGCTTCTTCCGGCCCCGGCTCTCTGAGTTGGCCATGGCGCCTAAGCAGATGGGTCTGTCTCAAAGGGGAACCTGTCTCAGAATTGCGGAACCTGTGTTGGATGGTTCTAAAGGGAAAACAAAAGGACCTACCAATAAATGACCAAAGCACACATGGGTGTTGTTTATGGTTGCTTTAGTTTTCCCAAGGGCGCGCATGTTTCATTGGTATTTTGGTTTTGCATTTTGTATTGGTATAGTGGATAGATCACATCCTGCAAGGTTTAATATTTTAAATCCTATGAATGTTCGGACAACATGGTATTGACCATCTCGAAACTGGTGCAGGATTTTTGTCAATCCACAGCAGCCACCATCGTTTGCTCAGTCTTTCCCAAAGGAAGCCCAAAAGGGATGGGTCATGTTCTCAGTTTTCCAGACCCTCTCTGCATATATAACCGGTTGAACCCATAGTAAGAATACTCTCTGACAACCCCAACTGCTGAGGTCCCTGAAGTCCATTCGGCGGTACTTGGGAATCACTGCTAAGTACAGTGGGTGCTTGGAATGGATGAGCCACCGTCCACAGTGACAGTCGGGTATGGGAATAGAAACGGATCTGTCTCTTGTGGCTTCCTCTTGCGAAAGCGAAACCTGGGAATACGGCGGATCGACCATACCCAGCAGGCACCAGGTAGGTCGTTTATCCCATTCATATGTAATACAGGGTTTCCATAGTGTTTTTGGTAAAGGATACAATTCCATGGATTTTCCACAAATAAACCCGTGAAATCGGTGATGCCATTTCTGGTCTCCCTTTCAAAACAACTTTTCAAGGGGCCAATCCTTTTTGCTTGGTTTGGTTGAACAATGTATCGGGCGAATCCTGGTTGACCTGGTCAAGCATCTACCAGGGAAACCCGTCCATTTAAGCAAAAAAAAAGCCACCTATGAACATGAGTCCCATCCGGAGGCGGAGTTCGGCCCTTTCTTGGTGCAGAAGCTGGCGGACGGGCTGCGGGAACCTCCGCAGCTACAGCTGGCCTTAGGTGAGCTGGACTTTGTGGCGTTGTTGCTCAGTCGACATCTGACCTGATCTGAGCTTTTTTGGTTTTCTTGTGTCGGTCCATGTTTCGACCTTTGAAACCAAAGACCTTCCATTTGCTTATGTCTTTGCCTCCCCCGGTTGGTTTTAAAGGGAATCGAATTCACTAATTGAAATTTGTACTCATTTTTTTCAGGGGCAGAAATAAATGAAAGAAGCCAAACTTTTGATCTGAGCTTTTGGCTTCTCCGACTCGTGGACGAAATCCACTTCGCACCACTCGGGAGAGATATACCCCTCATAAGATCAAGCTCATTACACTGGTACAGGATTTCGTCCACCCACTGTATGTTGGTCCATGTTTCGTCAAGGTCCCGAAAGGGTGATCACCTTTGAAACCAAAGACCTTCCATTTGCTTATGCTTTATTTTCCCTTGTCGGCTTTAAAGGGGAATGGATTTCACAGGAGTGATCCATCTTTTGATTCCTGGGTCCCGGGGCAATTGAGGTTAGGCTCCGGGCAGAACGCGCAGCACGCAGTGGTGCTGAAGATGTGGCTGGGCAAAGTGCGGCAATCGATTGCCCGGGTGCTAAAGGGGTGCCCTTCTGGGGAGGGTCTGACCTCTAAGAGGGAAAAAAACAAAAAGAGCCCTCAAACAGCTCGAGGTTTCGCACACAGCCTGCAAACCTCGCAGGTTGGAGGCGGCTCTCCGCCTGCGCGCGGGTCTGAAGGCGGCGGCGGGGAATGTCTTCCGCGCGCTGGCGCTGCAGAATGCCTCGGAGCACCCGAAAGCCTGGCCCACGCTGCTGGCCTTGCAGTCTCTGGAGGACGGGTTTTGGAAACCGCGGCCAAAATGGGAAAACAGTGGGGAACAAAGGTGGCTTCCCTTGGAAGAAGCCAACATGTGTGGCGAAAGTGAGGTTCAACGAACTTGAAACATGGGGTGTTGACGGCCTTTGGAAGAAGCCAACTTGTCAAACTTGTGGCGAAATGAGATTCAATGAAGTAGACACATGGGCGGGTGAAATGGGATTTGGAACCCGCAAAATGAAGAATTCACATGTGCCTTTGAAACGATGAAACTGGAGGGTGTGTGTACGTGTTTGTGTTTGGCAAAGTTTGGGAAGCAAACAGAGCACGGTTTTGTATGGGAAACCGAAAGGGACAAACAGTTTGGTCACATTGGAACCCTGGAGGTGGACGACCTGTTGGAGAAGGATTCCAAGGAGAAGGATTCGAAGCAGAAGGAGCACTCGGTTTGCTTTCCTCAAACCGAAACCTGAAGGTTGTTTGTGGAGATTGTTTGAACAATATTAACCCCGAATTAGTTAAACACCGGTGATTAAGAAGGGCGGGGGCCCCAGGCAGTGATGAGCGCTCACTGAAGCATCAATAAGTAGTGGCTTATATGGGGTTATTCATGGGTTGACATTGGGAAACAATCACCCCTCAGTTCATTTCTTTGGCCGAGCGAGCACCTCGATTTGCAGTTTCACAAGAAGCTCCAGAAAGTTCCAACTGTTGCCTGGAAAACCATCTTTTTGTGGTTGCTCTTTTTACCAGGACACCAATGGAACCACACATGTGTTGCCGGGTTGTTGGTTGTGGGGGCCATTAGATTGGTTCGTAGCTTTTAGTCAAGGAACCTCTTGAGGCCCGCGCTCCAAGGCCCTTTTTCATGTTTGGACGGACCCCAAGTTGGTACACACCGTCACCCACGTCCCAACCACTGCTTTTGGACGCGGGAGAAACAACTTTTTTTTTTGTGGGGGGCTGCTAAAACTGGTGATTGTCCAATTCATTTCCTTTTGTCAACCCATGGATGTTGGCACTCCATAGGTGTCCTTTTTGATTGGTTTGGTTGAAACATAGAGGATTCCTGGTTTACCTGATGGTTCAATCATCTACCAGGAGAACCCATCCATTTTCCAAAAAGGACTCTATGGTCACTTCTCGAGGAGAGCAAAAGCAAGGAGCGCAAAGCATCGGACGCGGAGGGAAGATTGCGGCGGCTGCCAGCTGCCGGGCCCACGATCTTGGCGGTGCTCTTGCGTTTCCCCGCGGACACGGCGGCTTGGTGTGATCTTTCACCTCGACTCGTTGCCTTGGGTTGAAAAGGATCGCTTCGAACAGTTTACTCATCTTCAGCCTTGAAGTTGTTGGATCTTCAAGCTACAAGTGAAACTGTTTGCCACCTTCGGTTCCATTTGCGGCGGCCTGGGAGCTTCCAGTACCTCAAATGGCCCTTGGGTCATTCACCGGTTTCTTGGTTGAGGTCGCGCCCATCACGGCGGGCTTGTCCAAGATGCTGCGGCCCCAGCTGCTGCTGGCGATGGCGCAGGATGAACTGAACCAACAAGTCTGGTAGGTGAGGTTAAGGGATAGCCCCAACCAGAAACAGGAAGGTTCTCGGGGTAAATGTCTGCATTCTTTCCAGGGATCCTTCTTTCTAGAAAACCTCAGGAAACCGAGGGAAAACGGAGCCGGTTGTTGGAAAGAACGATGGTTGAAAAGAATGGGGAATCAACCCCTAGAATGGTGTCAAAATAGGGGACCCATCAAAACATGCTTGGTGTTTCTTTGGTTTACCTTTAAACCAACCCCAAAACGGGTGCCATGAAAAAACAGACTCAACGGGGTGCGGATGTCCGCCTTAATTCTTGGATCATGGTTCTGGGGAGCCACTTTTGTTTGCAGAACCGCCTTTTCTTCCTAGGATGTTCTCTTGAGTTCCTTGTTTTGGGGAGGCTGCTTCGATTGTCTCATCCAAATGGTTGCCACCCAAATTTTGGACACATGGAAACCACAGATCTTTGCTTCAAAGGGAAAGCAAGGGGGACCAACCGCTTCAGCCCCTGCCTTTGAGATGTGAAAATCGGCCGAAACCTCGGAAGAATCCAAGACAAACGCCAACGAAGTCCCAGCTGGTTTTCAGCCATCCGCTTGAGGTTTTAGTTTCCAGTTGGTTTGGTGGCAGTTTTCACCAAACCCACAGTTCTCGGCTTTGGGGATCTGGGCCGCAGAAACAACATGAGCAAAACCAAAGGGGAAACCGAGGAGAAACCCACAGCTTTGGCTCGGGCGGTCGCTTTTTTCCAGGAGGCCAAAACGGCGCGAGTCCTGGAGGCCGCTTTAGCCCCCTCCTCCGCCTTGGAGAATCGACGCTTGAAGCTGGCGGCGGCCTTTAAGGGGCTGCTGGGACAACTGGGGCCCCACCACGCGCCTCGATCCCACTTGTGCCCGTGCCATATCCATATGGGCATAACCTATGGCTCCATTTTGGCGTGGATGAGCATCCATGTTGGGACCTGTCCAAGGACAAACACATCCTGTTTGTTAAGGGTACCCCTATTTGCAAAATGAATGGGATCCCAATTTGGGGAAGGTGCACCCATTTTAGTCTATTTTAGTGGGGATTGGGATGTTTTGACCCATGGCCATATCTTTGTTTAGCCATGTTTGAGGCACCCGTAGTTTGACATACCACAGATGTTTGGCAATCTTTTAAGGGACCCCAGAATATGTATTGGTTGTTTGTTCGTATCCAACACAAGCGGTTTCGCACTTAGTCTTTTACTGCTTTTCGGGGAGGTTTTTTTCAATTTCGAGTATGGGGAGCATGAAGCCGGACTTGTTCCTGCCAGTGCTTCCAGTTAAGCCATGTGCAGGGTTCCCAGTGTATTCCGTTTCAGCTGGTGTAGTGTCCAGAGCAAAGCTTTCCAACAAAGGTCTCTTTTGGGACCAGTGAGTTTTCTTTTGGCCAAGAAACTCAGGAACAGCAATGACAAGCTCCTTGTTTTCACCACCAGCTTTTCCCAACTCCTTGGGCCAAAAGTCGCCGCAAAGCGCGGCCGCCTGGGATGCCGAAAAGGGTTCCTGTGCCGTTTGATCTTGTCGTGTGGTGTTTTTTTTGGCCGAGAGCGAGAGAGAGAGAGAGAGAGTGAAAAATGAGAAATAGAAAATGATGAGAAAGAGAATCAAGAGGAGAAAGAAAAAGAGAAAAGAGAAAGCAACACAGAGAGAGAGAGGGAGAGAGATAACGAAGGGGATAATTTCCATGCTCGAAACATTTGTTGAGGGTGAGAAAGGGGTGAGCTGGGGTAGAGAAATCGCAACCTTCCCAGTGGATCCCGGCTCCCACTAAGGAAACCATCAACACTTCTCTTGGTTTTTCTATTGGCTGGGAGCACTTACCACTATAGTAGGTACCCAACAATGGTCCTCCTGGTTATCAGTTGGGTGGTTATCCCCCTTTTTCGTGTAGGTCACCATGCTTCCCTGGTCACCTGCCTTCCAGGCATGAAGCCACTGGGGCGCGGCTTGGTTTCGGCTTCGGCTGAGGTGGGCGGCTGGGTCTGCGCGGCGCTGTGGCGCGCCGCGCGATCGCAGGAGAGCCTTCGGGAGGCCTTCGCTCAGGAGCTGCTGGCGGTGGAAGCCGAGCTGCGGCAGAGGAACTTCGCGGTGTGGAAGGTCTGCGGCCTGAACCAGGCGCAACGCGGTTGTATGATGCGCGATGATAAATAAATATATATATATATATATATGTATAGATTTCACATATATATAGTGCAAATAGGGCAATATAGTAATTGTAATTGTGGTACACTAGAAAGAAACAAGTGGCAATCACAATTATAGTTGCGAAACGTATGGTGGTTGCGGTTGTATGCATGTATTACCACAAAAGACATACAAGGACACTGTTCGGAGTGCCGCACGGATTGGAATCTAGCCAGCCTGGGTTATCCTCTGTTCTTGTTGAAGCGTGGTATCCGTTTGAAGGAGTTGGTTCAAGGCGGAGTTGAAAGGAAGCTTATTTTAAGGGTGCCATGTCCTTTTAGCCACACCCAAGGCTGGGACGTGAGCATGGAAGTCTTGCAGCAAATTGCGCAACCAACGGGAGGCAACCGGGGACTTAAGGTGGAGAGATACACCACCGGTCTATCTTCCCCCAACAGCTGCTTTTCCCATGTCCAAAATCCCAAGTGCTGTCCAAAAAGCAGTTGTGTGGGGTGCTGGTTGGCTGTCTTTTTGTTTTCGAAAGTTTTGCCAAGAGAGAGAGAGAGAGAGAGAGAGAGAGAGAGAGAGAGAGGGAGAGGGAGAGAGAGAGAGAGAGAGAGAGGAGAGAGAGAGAGAGAGCAAAAAAAGAATCACAGAAGAAAGAAAGAAAGAAAGACAAGGAAAGAAAGTAAAGGACAGGACAATAGTATAAGGGAAAGGAAAGAAAGAAAGAAAGAAAGAAAGAAAGCCCGCAGAAGAGATACGCTTGGAGTGCCCTGAGAAACATATTTTTAGTCGGGTTTGGGGAAGACCAACCCCAATTTCCCGCAAAATCCAAGTGAGGTTGAGTTTCCACCATGTCACACGTCGGGGTTTGTGTTTGGGAAGCTTCCTTTTAGGTATAGGACTACCCAAAAGTCAAACAACGAGATATGGATGTGTCTCAAGATAGTGACCCCACAAAAAGTTTGGTTGCTCGGTTTGGATTCCCTTGAGACCAACCACAAACAATGGTCCCCTAAAAACACAAGCACCCACATCGGGGAACAACAACAAAGGGCGAACCTCTCTTTGCTTTTCCTTTAAAAAACAAAGATCAGGGCTAACCGCATTTTTTTTCCAGAACACAACTCAGGGAGCCACACATATTTCTGCGGCCCCCCGCGAGGTGAAGCTGCGCAGCGAGGAGTGGGTGCAGCAGCAGAAGAAGGCGGGGAAGGTCCAGGCGCTCTTCGGCCCCTTGCTGGGGGACGAGGCCGGGGGAAGGCGGAGGGGCAGGGCTCTGCGCGTCTCGTGAAGCCATGGGGATGAAGCCAGAGACGTGGGGTTGCGGTATTTACCGACAAATCATGAGAAACCAGGGAGGTTTGCTAGGGAGTCCGGCCACAGTATGAGTACAGAGGATAGAAATTCCGTGGATCGGTGAGCTATTTTAGAAATAGATGGGTTCCACTGGTTTGGATCCGGAAACACAAAGTGCTTGCGGTGAGTTTCCTTGTATGGGTGATATGGCTCTTGGGCATACGTCTTCCCCGAATTAGGATGTCCGCCAAAGGCCCGTCTCACCCACAAAAAGAAAACACACAGCCAGTTGTTGAAACAACCTCCTTTCTGTTTCCCTTTCAAACCATGACCCTGTTCGATCACCCCATCTGGTTGCCAACCCTTTAGACATGTTTTAAGCCACCAAACGTTGAACCACCCCTCTGTTGGTTTCCCTTTCAAGGGAGCCATGCCCTGGTTGAACAAACATCGACTCGAGAGACTCGAAGCCAAGAAGTGGAGCACAACTGGTATGAACTGTAGTTGGGTGACTTGTTGCTTCCAAAAGGGCGCGGAGAACGAGTTGCGAAACCAACGACAAGTTTGGCTTGTCGCAAGAAGGGGATATGGACCCCCAACATTGGTTGTTTCCCTTTGGTTTCCCTTTGAGGGAACCCCCAAAAAAGGGTACCCTCGCGGAAAAAAGCAAAAAGCCGGATTTTGCCCCAGGAGGCTGCGAAGGCTTTGGAGGCGCAGCGTGCGCGGGCCGCGGAGGATGAGGCGCAGCGGCAAGTTGCCCTGGACCCCACGGCGCCTTGGACGCGGTTGGGAAAGCAACCCGCAAAAGCCGCCAAAGAACCCATCGGCCTCTTCATCCCAAGGTGGTTCACTATGTTAAGACCCAGCCTTTTGGTCGGTTCGCGAAATCGGATGGGGCAAAAGTCCGCCCCAGCTAGACGTGGACCGGGTTTTGAGTTCTCCCAGTGGACCCATTCAACCGATTTTTTCGTTTTTTCCGCCGAAATGACCCATAAAAAAACGTGAGAAAGGCAAAACAAAGGCATGGGCACGACTGTCCAAATCACTGGTCTATTGTGAGTGTGTCCGGGCGTTTCATATCATGTGCTGAGTTGGAGGAATATGGTACTGAGGTTGCAGCTTTGCTGCCCTATGAGCCTGAAAGCCCCACCGGCGAGGCCGAGGCTCCTGCTCCTGCGCAGAACCCGAAGGCCAGGGGCTGTGGGCCCGTCTGAAACTTGCCGCGCTTACCACTTACAAACTTCCCCGTGCCCGTTAGGGTGACCACATAGTTTGTTTGTGGCTCAAATGAAATGCGCCATTCACCATCACGTGCTCTAAAAGGGATGATCTTCAGCACTCACTGAATTGGGAGAAGTTTTTTTTTTTTTACGGCAAGTTCCCATTCCAGCTAGCAACACGATGAGTATTGACCCTTGCTCGTTCCCGTGTTTGACAGTGCGGACGCGAACTCTTGAAGCTAGTGGATCCTCAACTTCTTCCGAAAACGATGAACTGGCAAGTTGGGTTTTTGGTCACAAAGGGCAAGGCTTTGCAGTATTGAGCACACAGAACAATGGTTGATTCATTACGGGTCTGGATCACATGTAGGGAGTTGCACTCATCTCCTGCGCAATGTCGACTCCGGAGTCACAATGAAACCCTGCGGATAAATTGGTGGGAGCTTTCCCCAAAAGCAATGGATCACCTCTTCAACGAATTCTATGGGACATGTCAGGAAACAACCAGGGGTGTGTGAATCTGCCTAACGAGCGCACCATGAACGTCCTTTTTCGCTGATGTGGGGTTTAATTCTCCGAGTGGATCCCAGCTACCGCTGTAGGTAACCCTTCGCCATTTCCTTGTGTTTTCCAGGGTCCCTGGATCTTCAAAATTCCCTAATGTGTCATTGCCCCATTTCTGTGGGGGGAATTCGATACGGCTAGTTTGAGGGTCGAGATGGTTCCCTCGGTTCCCGAACCGCCGTGTTTGGTTTGCTTCTCCCAGAACCACTCGGTCTGGGCTCCTTCTTTCCATTCAGGCCACGCAGGATGAGAGTCTCCAGCAAACGCTGCAGCTCATTAAGACCAAAGCCGGGGTCAAGCGAAAGAGGAAGCGGAAAGCTGCCGCGCAGGAACCTTGGCTGAAAGGCCAAAGTCCGCCGTTTTGGTTGTCCCGTTTCGGGTTGGTGCACTGGTGAATCGGTGAAACCTAGGTTGATTGGCAGGTGAAGTGTTTCTTTCTCCCCAAACCCCCAAAATGTGGGTGAAGACCAAATGTGGTTTTCCAGCTTGGCAGTTGTTGTTGCCTGATTTGCAGAAGGCCGGCTTCTCCCCCGTGGTTTGGCCGGTGATATTTCCTTTCTTTTTTTTTCCTCAGCCAAAAGTGAGGCCCACGAGGCCGAGGAAGACTGAGAGTTCGCACCCGATTCGCAACGTCTACAAGCTCGAAGAGAACTTCCGAGGAGTCGATGGACTTGGATTCGCATCCGACAGCACCGAGTACCCAAGCCTCGCTGGAGGACGCTGACCTGCCCAGCGGAAAACAGGTCTCCCGAGCGGTCAGCATCTGAGAGACATGTTTAAAGTGGTATGATCTTTCATAGTCGAAACACCCTTGCGAGGGGTTGGACATAAATCCTGGTGTCCAGCAAAGCACAACACCAATCAAATTTCATGCCCACATGGGTTTCGAAGGGTTGGAACACCACAGGTGGTCTGCGGACAGATGTCCGCACTCCGCATCATGCTCACAACATGCCTAGACGTGTCAAACGCCATGGGTGTGTTCTGTTTTGAGGGTGCCATGTTTCAGGTTGGTTTAACGGAAAACCTTTAGGAAAACCCCTGAAAGGTCCCCAAAAAAGCATGCAGGCATAAAGAGACGCCCCTGCAGCTTTGACTCGGGGCGAAGCCTCGGGGCGCTAGCGCTGTGCGGGACGCCAAAGCTTTGGCTGCGCGACAAGGCCGGCTCTGCGAACCTTTGGGCAAGCTTGGTTTAAGCAACCTGACTTGTTTTTGTGCCTTGACGCATTAAACAAGTGGTACCAAGAAGCAGAAAAGGGGTTATTTGGTGGTCCAGGAAGTCAAGATGTGTGTTTCTATTGAAACCCAACAGGGGTCCAACTAATTCGGTAGACCCCAGGGCGATCTTCCTGTTGGCTTCCTTTCGCAACCAGCTTGCAAACGTTGGGTGTTCACCCAACTTATAGTAAGGTTGCAACCACGGGTTAGGGGTATCTCAGGTTGGTCCCTCTTATAGCCAGGGCTATGACCTACTTAAGTCGGTCGAACACCCAAGTACTCACGAACATGATTTGATCCCAGACGCGGCCCTAAATTTTATTTTCCAGGACCAAGTCAGGTTGGGAACGGCACCGTGTTGATGGAGATTGGGAACTACAGCCCGAGCTCTGCATAAGAAATCGGGTCGAGACATAGGGGGGCTGAATTTCTTAACGTCCATTGTGTTTAGATGTGTTTAGGGCTTGTATATACGACTCCGGAGCCAGGGGGCTGAAGGTCCTCGCAATTTCTGAACCTTTGATTGGCCAGGTTGTAGTTGTGAGTTGCTTTGCAGGCCTGAATTTCTTAGTGAAACGGCGCAATCGAAAAGGCCGCTAAGAAATGTGGGCCTTGAATTTCTTAGCGAAGAGGCCAGTGAAACCAAAAGGTCACTAAGAACTTGGCCACGACATTGAGCCTGCTCTCTAAGCAAATATCAGTTTATTTTAAAGGTATGTCAAAATATCAGGGTTTTTCCCGGAAATACCGGGTTTTTACTTTCTGCGTTGTAATCCGAATGGTCTTGCGTGAGTTATGATTGTGGTTCCCTCAATATAATCCTTTTGTTGGCTCTCTTACATCCAGTCAAACGCTCCACGGCCGCCTAGCAATCCCATCCAAGCAAGCTCATTGAGCATGGCACCTGTTGCAAATCACCTGCTGAACTCGAAACAATGGTCAATCCGCAATTTGTTGGGAAGGCTTCCCAGATCGTGGCTCGGGAAGTTTAAAACAGCATTGGAATATGAACTTTCTGACAAGGGCAACAAGTAGTCCCAGTTTACCGCACGCGGTAGCTGCACGTGTATACATATTGTGTATGGCACTGAGCAATCTGCTTGGGACTGTTTGCGTAAAGCTCTCGTCGGATACGTCTGGAGGGCCGTCTTGCAAATGCTCACTTGTTTGACAACCAAGTCCCGTGCTAAAGCATTGATCCCGGAGCTTCTCGCAGGCTTGTCTAAAACGTCGCAGGAACATCATTTTTGGAGCGAGCCAAAAGAACCTAACCCACTTTGAACACTGGACAGCAGGTAGTGAAAGACGCGTGGGACGAACACATGAATGACTGCTTTTCGCAGGGTCACCTTGCAAGCTTATTGCTCGGGCCTGGAAAGCTGCTTGAGCAGAGGTTGAACATCCCATAAATTGCGTACGGGTTTGTACGGTATTTTTATGGGATTTGTACGGTTTTTGTACGGGTTAGGAAAAACCAGGTTTTTGGAAAAAATGGGTTTGTATGGGATTTTTTATGGGATTCGTATGGGATTTTTATGGGTTTCCTTTTTTTCGCACGCGCTCGCCCTTCCAGAAGCTTTCCAGCAAAGAAAAGCGGGCACACAGCTAGATTGCGCGAGCAGCGAACTGGTTTTGTATGACATTGCGGTTTTCGGGCACAAACACGTACTACGCAACATGTTTGGCTTGGACTGTGCTTCCCATCGAATCAAAGTTAGGTGCTGAAAGAAAGTGCGACTTAGGCGGAGGCCAGCTTTGTTGGCATTTGGCTTGTGCGCCGAGCCGAGTAACGAATGCAAGTGCCACTTTGGGATACTGCCTGATGTTTTAAACATACAAAAAATGGTACCATGCTTGAGCATGATGTGTCAATCACGCAGAGCTACTGATGGTCAGGTAGTGAACTGCACACTTGTACATTCAAGTTGGTTGTCCCGCTTCATTCTTGAGTTTTGGTTGACCACGCCCTCGCGTCTACCCCTGCCTTTTGAGCTCCAATCTTGAGGAGCAGGGGGCTATCGCGCACTTGGCGTTACAAAAGGAAACCACAAGAGATTCCCAAAAAACATCTAGAAACCCAATATACAATTTGGCAGTGAAAGAAACCTGGCGGCTCCTTTCAACACCTGCTCGAGATCCGGCACCTTTGCTCTGTTCTTCAAACATCCGACATTTCGCTTGCGAAAAGTGCCAAAATAAAGGATGTAAGTGAAATACCGGGTTTTTCCCTGGAAAGCCTTTATTTTTCCAAAACTTGCCCAAAAACCCGGTTTTCCCATTTGACCCTTTAAAATTAAAGGATTTTCGCTTAGAGGGTGAATTCTTTAGCAATTGAGAGTGGCCTTTGCGGTTGACGGGCCCTTTTGGTCGACGGGCCTCGCTCAGAAAGTCAGGGCTTAATTCTGAAGCGGCCTTTTCGCTTGATGGGCCTCTTGGCGTAGCCGCCTCTTTCTTGCATTTGGTGGCCCTTGCGTCTGTTTCTGGGCTGTTTCTGGGCCGTTCTTCCATCTGTTTTATCGGGCAAGTTTGTTTAGAGATTGGTCGGTCAACTCTAGGCGGGCTCGTTTTCTTAGCAGCAAGAGCCGTTGCAACCTACCTGGTTGCTCCCTCAATTTCCTACCCAAGGCTTTCTTAGTGCTTGCTTGCTGTAGGGTCAAACTCCTATTCCTGCTAGCTCGCTCCCATGATGAATATGGTCTCAACGTATCGCAAGCTTTCGAGAATTGAAACACCGGAATGCCCTGAATACTGGGGGTGGACGAAATCCTGCACCACCTAAGAAGCCCTGGAAGTAGGTTTCCCCTGTAGCCAACAAACGACATGGTTTCCCATGCTTGAAAGTAGTGCAGGATTTCGTTCATCCACAGTATGTAGGGTCGTGGAAAGGACCCGCGCAGAAGGGGCAGAGACTTCAGTTCGACTTGCCACAAGGGCCAGCCGCGTGCCGCACAGCTGGCCGCACAGCCGTGGACTCAGTCAGCGCGTGCTTTGCTGACATGGCCAAAGGGAAGCCTTTGTTGGGCTACTTTAGGGGAAGCCAACATGGACACCACAAATTTCTTGTGTTCCCACTTGAGACAAGCTGACAAACCAGTCGTTTTGGTTTGACTCAGAGTATTTGGCCACGTGTTGGTTGTTTCACAAGGACCAGTAGAAACCCAGGAAGCCATCCACTGTCTGGCCAGGACTCGGTTTCTTCCGATGAGCGCAGAGCTCAGAAGATTGCAAAGCCCAGGCTTCCACTTGCCATGCAGAGGGGAACCATCAAGAAGCCTTGGGGCTGTGGATGGACTCAATTCCATTTCGCACCACCGTTCACAAACTGGAATGATATTTCCCCTCCCGGTAAATACCGGCAAAACATGACTTCCCATGGTTTCAAAGTGGTGCAGGATTTTGTCCATCCACCGTATGTAGGTAATGTTAACCCTGGATTAAGAAATCCATGGTTGATGAATGGGGGACTCATATCCCTTTCAGTGGAAATTATTTCCTCAAGGGAGCTGTTTGAGGGTTTTGGGGTGTCCCTAAGCGTCGGACCCTCCGATTCGAAGGACCCAGCGTCTGGGTTGTTCGATTCCACACGAATTCCTTAGGCACTCTGACGCAAAGCAACCAGACTGAAGAGGACTGCGGGAAGAGACGAATCGGTTGTGGTAGGCATAGCTAGGGCAACCTTTGAGGGCACAAGGGCATACATATTTGCCCTCTGAAAGTGTGATACGAGATATTGGAAGATCCTACCAGCACCCAACAGCTGCTATTTCTATCTATTTCCCATGTTCAAATCCGAAGTGCTGTCCAAAAAGCAGTGGTTGGGGGGGGGGGGGGGAGTGGTTTCAGGGTTGAAGGTATGCCGAGAACAACTGCGTTTTCTCTCAGTCCGAAGCTGCCCCTTCTCCCGAGGAGTACTTGGACCGATGGTCCGATGGGCGCGGACCTCACTCAAGTGACAGATGGGCGTGGGATTCTACCAAGCCATGCAAAACCATTGCAATACCATGCGGGAGCGTCTTTTTTTAGTGGCCCCCCCCGTAATATATATATATATATAAATACACGTAGTATATGTATGTGGTCGTCCTTTGGGTTTTCCTTGAACAACTACAAACAAGGGGGTATACCCTCAAACAAAGGACGCACCCATACCAAACCTCACAAACCGTTGGCTTGTGTGTGTGTATATAAAAGACACCTACCCCAGGCTGCGGTTTTGCGGGTCGCCAGCTCTGAGGTTTTTGGAGAGGAACTGGCCTTTGGCGCTGATCATGGCGTTGGAGATTCTGGTCGTTGGCCCCTGCCTGAGACCTGCCGGTGCACCCAACCGGCCAGCGGTTGCGGGACCCAGCTTTGGCACTTTTCCGCTGGGTCCATTCTCAAAATGACCCAAGAACAGGCTTCCACCCAAGCCACCCCCTCTAAGAACAGGGTTGACTATCACCAAGTTGGTACTTCGGAGAAGGGGTCCCTCAAAGTGCCTCGCCGCTCTTTGCGGGAAAAAACAACAAACAACGGCCCAACTGCGCCCAGCCTGAGGCGGCCTCTACTTGTACCACATCGCTTGGGTCAGCTGCTGAGTCAAGGGAGCCGCTGGTTAAAAGCCAAGATGAACATTCTTGGTTGCCTACTATGGTGGTAAGTGGGGTCGACTAGGAGAGACAGAGAGGGAGAGGGAGGGAAGGAGGGAGGGGAGGGAGGGAGGGAGCGTCAAGACAGCCTTCCTGAGGTGAGGGTGCAGAGGCAGCGAGCCAAGGCGAGGCAAGTTTGCACATGTGCCTTGGGTTCTATCAGGCATCAATAATACACAGTTCACCCATGGTGGGTCTGTGTAGCTTGTTGAGGCTCGGTGTGTTCTCTACAAATGACACCACACGGCCTTTCCTTCCCCTGTTGACACATGTTTTATGGAATGTCCAGAAGCAGGTTGGGTACAAGTGGATGGCCCTAGGTTGTTTTTAGGGGTTGCACAGGATTACTTTGCATTCCTTAGAGAGCCTTACAAAAAAAAAAAAAACGCTGGGACCAGATCCCCTGACAACCACAGGACTCCGCCGTGATGCGCCTCACCGAGGCGGGGGGGCGACAGGTTAGGCCCTCTAGGCGAGAAGAGACTCGGTTTAGCGAGGCGAAGTGAAGGTTAAGCTGGGGGATAGTGCCAGCCAAGAAGCCCTTGTCAGTCTGAGCCCTAGAGCCATTTGGATATTTGTTGACTGAACCTCATGTTTTGAGAATCCCGAGGATTTGTCTATGGTTTATTTATTTGGGACGTGGAGAACAACATTGAAAGCGAGGGACACTAATTTCGTCCTTGGCGGAACAAGTAATTTGGTTCCTGCCCTATGTCATTACTGTGGATACTGCAAAGCTGACTGTTGTTGACATGAAACCCATACCCTAGCACTTGCACGTCGAATGCTACTGTGAACCCAAATTGAATTTTGGGACACGCCTTTCCAATCCCAACTGGCGTCCATGCACAGAAATGGGCAGCAACCTTAAGATACATTTTAGGCCGCCATCAGTGCGTTCCTATCAGTGAAGCGATGGGCAAAAGTTGCCCACGCCAAATAAGGGGATTGGCCACATAAGGGGATTGGCGGGGGCCGTGGGTGTCTTCTCACAGACTCGTTGAAAGGGCAACCACGGGGAGCAGCTTTACCTAGTTGCGAAGAAGCCAGCAGTTTGGGTGTTTGTGTAGCAAACAGGGTAACAGGACCTGTTGAAAAAGAATGACTGGAAGACGTGGAGTTGTTGCGCGGACCGTTTCACGCCCCTGGTCTGCGAAGCCAAGGGTCTGGTTTTGCCTGGAAACATGCTGTGGGTACTCCGCGGCGCTGACCTGCAACGCGTGTCATGATGTCGGCTGCTTATCAAAGTCAGAAACTGGCTGTTGGTTTGGTCGCGTCCATTTTTGGAGGCTCCCCAACATGATCTCCTTTTTGTTCCACCGGGTCGTCTTTTTGCTTGGCAGTGAGTCACAGACGAACTGTCCAAAAGGTGACATTTTCCTTTTCAACCGGGTCGTCTTCTGGGGAAGTGCAAAGAATCGAACGGCACCCCAAAATGGTTGCCTCGAGGTCCCAAACCTTCAAATGAGGCCAATGGAGGCAATGATGCTTAGGGTCCCACAAAGACAGTTTGGTGCGTCTCAAAATTAGGAACACGTCCAAGTGGTGGTTTGCTTTGGCCTCCCATTAAAAAAAAACATCATCCAAAACGGGGAGCACATTTTTTGGAGACATCCCTAATTGACCGCTGGCCGGATCGATCCCTCAAGCAGGCCCTGTCCCTAGAGATGCTTCGGCGCTTCCTCCCTGGCGCTCGGGTGGATGTCTCGGGTCTCGCGACGTCCGGGACATGTGAGAGAACCTGGCAGTTTCCATTTGCTGAAAGACAGGGTCAAAAATAGGTACCCAAAATATCCCAAAATGGAACCCTAGTAGATGGACACATGGACTAAAACCTGCGGTCCCTGGTGGCTTAATTTTGACCCGTACCCATATCGTGTGTTTTGCCAAACAAAATAGTTAAACCAAAAAAACTTTTGGTTTTTGAAATGAATCTATCGCCACTGCACATATTGTTATATTCTCGTCCAGGGGGCTGTTTCTGACTCCCTGAGTGCACGGGCTTCATACATGTTTCATGTTTGGGGTTTGGACCATTTTGTGTGGCGAACAGAACACTTGGTCACTTGTTTGGGCCAACCCTCTCAAGAAGTCAGGATGTGCTATGGTCAAAAGACCTGGCTCCTTGGGGTTCGTATTCCAGTATTCATGTCCGTAAATTCATCCCACCTAGCGCAAAGTGGATGGTCCATGCGTCCATCCACTCGGTTTTGCGGGTTGGGTATCGGTTTTGGTCAGTCCGTGTCCAATGGTTTCTGGTACACTCCCTCCCACTACCACACCAGATAGAGGGTCCATTGAAGAGGCACTGATCTTCCCGGCACAGCGGGAGGAAGGGTAGTTCTGTTGTTCGCGTGAAGGGAAGATCCCCCGAGCCGCACGGTGAGAGACGCTCCCGCTTCATGGGCCCTCGACCCGGGCCTGGGAGACTGGATGGGGTCCGGAGAGGTCGTTCAGAGGACAATTTCCCCTTGTAACGAAACCCAAACGGAGTCCCCCCAACAAAAGGCGTCCACCCTTTTACTAGAAATCCATGTATATACCAACATTTGGAGGGTAAGTATGGGTAAATACTGCATGGATCCAGTTTGGCTGTCACTGGTTGCAACATCCACTGGTCTCTGATGCTGAGGTGGAAAAGTATCGGTTTCGCGGCATGGGCAGGAAGAAAGCTGCCGCAGCCTTAGAGAAGGCTGTTCACACACAGGGTGCATCGCCTTGAGGGCTCCATTTGTGGAGGTAGACTTGAACCCCTAGGGTAAATCCTTGGTGTTTCAATCTGCAAAACTGGACCCATGAAAACTCCTGCAAAAAAGAAGCCGTGACAGTCCTGGCCAACCTGCAGGCAAGAACTCGGCACATCCGTGCGCATGCAGATCCGCACGCACTGCATTGTGCGGCCGTTTTGCTCTGCAGCGCTAGGCCTGAAAGGATATTCCTATCATTTTTTCCGTTTCGCCATGGGTCAAGTGAATTGCTGCGCCGCTGATGAAAGCCGCCCCCAGGACGCGGCTTGCACCGGCGGGCTCCGACGAGTTTCGTCTTTTTCTGAGCTCCGAAAGTGGCACAGGAAATTGATCGACCTTGGAAGGAGAAACCCAGTGACCGCTGTAGTAGCTACGTAAGTAGGTTACCCTGGCAAGGGAAATAAGCCCAGTGAGTTGTAAGCATGGTTGCAACCTGGCGTTGGTCTCTGACACCCAAGCAGATCGGGGTTCAAAACCGCGCTCCCGATGGAACCGTCCTCAAACCGATTTAACCAGCCAGGTTTTGAGTTCACCAAACCTGGAAGGGATTTCCAGCGGAGGGGTCTGGAGTCTTCTATTGGACAAAGCCGATCGGAGCGGTTGGACGCAGGGGACATCTACTGTGGCTTAGCGAGGTTTCCCACCGTGTGCGATATTGACTCCGCAAGATGGGCATGTGTCGAAAAATAACCGAACCGCGAAAATGGGGAACCGCGATCTTCCCTTGGGTTCCCGCTTTAAGCCAGCGCTGAGCATCATTTGACCTTTAATTGGCGCGTGGATCTCCAAAACAACCTGTAGAATTATTGCCAACCCAAACCAATCAACCTTTCTACGGCGCAATGCCGCCGGCAGGCGGGCTGTGTGCCTTGGCAACCCTCAATCTTTCAAGCTTCCGGATTTTTTGGCCACAGTGGCCACACTGTTTAACCCTTTCCATATATGTTCAACACCATTCTGAGATTCTTGGAAAGTGAAAGGGGTACCTTTACGATAGGCAATGATCTCTTTTTGCTGTATATGCCACGGTGTTCCCTGATTGCCTACCCCTGCCAGTGATTCCATTTCCTGTGTAGTAGGTAACCAAGGGTAGGAACATGGCGAAGGCTGCTATACCTGCTGGAAATTGAGATCCACTGGCTGGTTTTGAGGCCTTTCTTTTTGGAGTTAAAAGCGCCTGAAGGTGTCCATCAACAAATGGAACCACTGGACACCGCTTTGGGGTAAGTGGGCCACAGCACTTCATTTGCAGGACGTGCTGCAAATCCCGCAGGCGGCATGGCTTGAATGCTTTTGGGGTTGGTCTTGTCGTCACCTTTAATTTCTTTTTTTTCGGAGGGGGGAGGGTTGGGTGGGTGTTTTTCCACTAACAACTCTGGTTGTTCAAGCCAGGTTTGTGCTCTTTTGTTGATGGATTTCGAGCTCACTTGGCGGTGCTGGAGCAACAAGAAACGGTCCTGAAAACTTGATCCAGTTTCCTATTTTCAGGTTTTTGGACGTTTGCTGGGCTTGCATTTGCTTAAGATTTGTTTGATTTCCCCTGTGAGTTTTAAGGGGATCTATCACTACTGGTAATATGTTTATTTTGCTTTTCCAGAAAACGTAAGCAAATGAAGTTTGGTGCTTTCCCGAAGGATCCATCAGGAACCGCGCCCCTTTCGTAGATCGAAACTTCGAAAACACGATCAGAGAGGCATGCCGAACCCAACCCCGCGGAGTTTGACCTGAAAGGTTCGGGACCTCAAGTTGCATTAAGATTCAGGGGGCCCTACCGAAGAGCACCCCCCCCCAAAAAAAAAGAGGGTTGTTTCCATGCAGCCAAAATCCTAATTAATGTCCAACAAGCAGTGGTTGTTTTGGTAAGCATCTGAAACAGTTGAGGTTTCATTTTGAGGGATCCCAAGATGTCATTCCAAGACTCGGGTAGATGTCTAAAGTGAACCAGTGAACCCTCAATCCCCCTGTTTGGGACCTCAAGCGGCACTTTGGTTGGAACCCAGTAAATTCCAACTTGTGAAGGGGAAATTGAACGATCCTTCGAGGCAGAGGTACTGCTCGCTAAAACGAAGCGACTGGCGTTTCAGGCGGCTCAAGAGCCTCCGGCGGCCAAGACTTCCGAGACGCTGCCCACCGTCAAGGAAGAGGCAGCGGTCGGGTTGCCTGTGTGCGATTTGTTCAGTTGGTTTCCAAAAGTCTCACTTGCCCAGGCGAATCAACCTTTTACGAGCTTTTGGAGTTCAGGTGTATATTTCTGTGAAGGTCGCAAAGGTGAGAAGTGGTTGGTTGACACAACTCCCAACGTTTGCCTTGTTGGTTTGCCTGTATTTCTTCTTCAGACAGCAGAAAGGGTTTGCTTTTGGGCTAGGCGGTGCCCTAAATGGCCATGTTCCGTGATACCAAGGAAATGCGGCTTCTTGCTGTCATGTTGTGACACTCTGGATGGATACAAAATCAAAAAACACCCACACACACACACCAGTTGGGATGATGGATGAGACCCCAATCTAAACCACCAACACCAACCTCCAACTGGAGCTGATCGGCGACTTTGGCGAGGATTCGGCCAAGTTAGTAAGTGGAGAGCCAGCTGGGTTGCAACCCCTAACAAGGTTAGCCCCACTTAGAGGGACTCAAAAGCGGGTAATCACCTATAGGTTACAAACCACTTCCCAACTTTGCCAAGCACCTGAGTAGGGAATCCCTGGTACACCTAATGGATATCGGATCCCTTGCGCTTCGTATTTTTCATTGGCTCCAAAAGGAAACCGTTACCCTATTTTTGGGCGAGAAACCCCCCACATCGACCAACCTATTTTAAGAAGCCAACCATTTTAGACCCCCCCATATTTGGGGGGCAACCAAGCAGTGTGGATGAACGAGCTCCCGCACCAGTTTAGAAATTTGGAGCCCTGAGACCAACGGTTGCAGGAGGTCGTCCATCAGTATTTGGGGGTTGATCAAAAGGTTTACACAGGACAACCATTGATAGGAACACAACAAAGATGATTTGCCGCATGGCAACGGTTAGCCATGGTCACTTGGGGCCCTTTCACGGAATATTGATGCAACCCTCATAGAGATGTCTCAAAAATATGGGAACTGCAAAATAGCTGGTTTCCTTTCGGTTCCCCAAGAACACACCACTCCAAACCCGGCCCCCCCCAAAAAAAGGCGAGGCGCCCCTTCTCAGAACTGCCCCGCGCACTTCGGCATTTCTCTCAAAAAGCGGCTTGGGACGGAGGTAGCTCCGGCGCCCGAGCCGGCGGCAGAGCCGACACCGGAGCACCTCGCCTCAGATTCAACGCGAGCGGATCGCCGGGGCTTTAGGTTTTTGGTTGCGATGGGGATGACACCATCCAAGTCCGGGTTTTTCATCCCGGGGATGGCACCAAAGTCCGGTGTTTTGGGGTGGCCCGTTTTGGGGGAGTGCTAGGAAGGCATGGGATGGATGGTTTATAGAGTTCCCTATTCCCTGCTGAGAACCGGCAAGTTTTGTGGGGGTTTCACTAGTTTCACCCACTAGTTCTCTTCCATATTTTGGCCCGTAACACCCGGTTTGAGCTGGAAAGTCATGCCGCCAGGCAAGCCGTTGTAGTAAGCTAACCAGATATTTAAAGGAAAACATGTTGCAGTAGCCAGGGGGATGACCTTGGGCACACGTGCCAGAGTATCCTTAGAAGTGGCGGTTACTAGGAAATAATCATGTTTGGGCCTTCCATCCATTCTAACTGGTGCGGAGTGGATTCTGTCCATCCGCACTAACTCTTGAAATGCATAGCTCCTGCTGACTTTTCAGCTGAGGGGCTTTGGCATCACCTTCCAGACTGCGAAGAAGGAGGCGAGGCAATCCGCCCTGTCGGTTGAGCCTGCTCAAAACCTGGGTAGATGAAGATTAGTAGCCGCACCCCGGAGGGGTTTGGGGGTCTCAAAACCTAAACCTAGCTGGTTGAGCACAACAAGCAGGTGCGCTCGCCTAGACTTCCGTGGTAGGTGTTGATTTTCACTTACCCTCCCAAAATCACACATAGAACCTGCACACGCGCCTCTGGAAGTTAAAGTTCATTCTCTTTTTACCCTTGTTGGTTCTGTGTTTGTTTTAGAGAGGGCAGTTCTCACGGCATGTTTCCGCAAAAGCCCAGGACGTGGTGGTGTACTTTACTCAGAAGCCCTTGGGCTTCAAGTTCGTGCGAAGCCCAGCCCGCGATTCGCCGATTCGCCTGCCTTTTTGGCGGAAAAAAACGTCGGCCGTGAGTGGCGAACTGGACCGCCAAAGGGCTTGGTGATGATCATGGCTTCCTCTTGGGGCTTTTGGAGAAAACTGTTCCTTTCTGTGGGCCACGACAGTATGACCTCCCATTTGGGTTGATCAAAGCCACTAAAAGGATGATGTTTCAACCCAGGAAAAGTTACCCATGGTCATTTGGGGGGCCGAACGGAATAGGATCAACCATGTCAGATCATGTTGAGCTTGAAATATGGCGCATGTGCCAAACACCTGCCGTTTGGCGAAGACTTGCCTCCTTCGGTTTCCGAGATGTCCACGAAGACGCCGATGCAACTTGGATGCATTTTTGGGAACGTTGTCCAAGAAATGGGTCCGCTTGGACGCATGCCGCCGCCACGTGCCGCCTTTTGAAGGGGTTACAAGAAATGGCCCCCTAGTTTTGACACCCCAGACATGAATGTAACCTTTAAGAGTGTTTTTTTGCACAGTCGTTTGTCGCCAGGGGGATGCCAATAGGTATGAACAGAGAGAGACACACACACACACACACACAGAGTCACGCCAATTTGCCAGGAGGAAATTGGGGGGTGGAACCACCGCGTTCCATATGGCCATGAGGTTTGTTCGATACCCATTATATACGAACCCTGTTAAGATTCATACCCATATATTATATACAAACCCTGTTAACATCAATACCCATATTTACGCCTGTTTACAGTAGCACCCATGTATACGAACCCTGTTAACATTTCACACCCGTATATACGAGCCTGGATAAAACCAATACCCATATATACGAATGGCCACCAACCCTTTTCACCCTTGAACATGTGCCAGTCGACGGTTGAGAGGCCCTGACTGAATATCAGACCTTTTGCTGTCAACCACAAAGAAGAGGCAATCCGTGGGAGCACTTTCGCAATGCGAATTTCTTCTTCGCGTGTTTTTTGTTAGTGGCCTTTCGGGCATTTTGGGCTAGGACGGTGACTGGCATCCTGGACGAGGGCTGCGTGAAATCCAAAGGCCTGCCGGTTGAGGCCCGGACGTTTGCCACGAAGCTCCGATGTTTGCGTACCCTTCCAACATAGCCTTGGATTTCCAATGGAGAAAACAACACACAAGTGGTTGGTGGACATGACTTCCCCCCCAAGATTCACACCTGGGTGTGTTGGTTTTGCCCGTGAAGGCGCCGTCACACTTTCATGTTCGTCCAAAAGCAAAGCTCTCAGCTTTTGGCGGCTGATTCCTCTTGTGGGGTGTGCTTTTTCCCTCCGTTTCCCAAGGCCGAGCTTGCATCTTTTGACCTTTAGTTTTCCTGTTGCCCATATTTAGTCAAGGTCGCAAAGGGCTCACGAATTTTCATTTCCAGGTTTTAGAGGTCCTGAGTGCCAAGCCAATCCTCAAGCTTGACCAACCCATCCCTGAAATGGATTTGAGCCCCTTGTTAGCGGCATGTAATGGGGAAAACCATAAGGACACTCAAAAAACATGTTGGTACCTGATATTCTATGAAACGCCCTATACCTTGACCTCCCAGTGCGAGAGATTTCCTTGAGGCTCACGAAGGGTTGGATAGGGTTGAGTGGGCCATGGAAATCCATAACACTATCAAGTTGCATGAGGTGGTCTTACCCATTTAGTTGTATGGCAGGGGCCAAGGCAATCAACCATCATATAGAGAGCCCAGAAGGAGACTAGTGGCGGCGAAACGCCTGGGATCTGAAGCTAGGTGGGCTGGACCATCAAGGCGGTGAATGGCAAGGACCTGCCCAGCGACGCCAAGCAAGCGATGGACACCTTCATGCAGGCCTTGAAGGCCTCGCTGTGAGGGAGCCTGGCGTTCATCGCTGGTGAGCGCCATCGATCGAGACCAAAACCTGGCCTTTGGATCGTAGATCGATGTGGGTGTCGAAGGACCTGAAACAAAATGTGGTGACTTTCCTTTTGGGGTACTTTTACACAGGTGAAAAGGGTAGACCCAAAAGTATACACACACACACACACTGTTGTGAAATTGCCGCCCGCAGAGCTATGGCGACCATTCAGGGATGGGTAAGTCAACCCAGGAAGTGTCCCCCATGTTGTTGTGTTGGAAGAAGCTGTCAAGACATGCAGAGAAGCCCAATTGTACAGCCTTACCCTTGATATCCTATTCAACTTTCGGAATATCAAATGATCCTTGAATTCGAGCAGAGAGATCCCCAAACTTTTGTGAGTCATGTTCAATCCATTTGTATACAGAATGCTAGACCCGAAGGTTTGCCACATCCAGCCATGCGGTCTATATCCTAATTTTGCTAGCCGGTGGTTCCTTGCACCCAGGGCTGGTTTGGGCACTTCAATGATAGAATTGCTTCAAGCCCCAAGCCCTGTTGATGGGCTTCGTGAATGAAGACAGACGAGTTTGGGGCTGCCTTGAAGGTTGCATCAACGGAGTAGCTAATGGTCCCTTTGGTAGAGGCCACGGTCGGTTCCGAAATGCCTATTCTGGCTAGACGCAATAACACCAGGTTTTGGTCCTGACTTTGCTGTCGCCGGTGCCTAGACGCTGAGCATTGCCTCAGTGGGTTTGGTGCCTTTTTGCCGAGTGTGCTGATGCATACCAGTGTTTTCCCGCGACAAGGACTGCGGAGGGCAGGTTGTCACTTGTGACACCCTGCAAGATGAGCTTTGCTCTCCTTTTCGCAGAGCTGCCGAGAGGTGTTGCCTGAAGTGGCAACACCGCACTTGACTTGCATGACCGCTTTGGCCCTAGCAAGGCTTAGGGATTGCCGACACTGTAAATAGACTCTGATCACCTGCCAGAAAGTGTCTCGTGTGACACTTGCCGAGACATGAGCTTTGAGCTGAACATGTCCAGTCTGCAGTTGGTGTTGGGTTCGGTGCAACAAGATCCTGGGAGAGACCATTCTTCTCCCATGGGCAACAGCAATGTTGCATTGTGGCCCATGTCAGTCATGAGGCTGTGTATATTGAGCTAGGCACCTTTGTTTCTGGAGTCAAGATTCTGGAGGTCCTGGGCAGTTGTCAGAAAAATCAATAGGCTTTTCTTTGTGTGCGAGAGTTGTCGGATTGTTTTTTCAGAGAGACTTGTTCAGAGACCTTGCTCAGATAAACTCGTTCAGATAACTTTTGCAGAGAAACTTGATCAAAGAACGTGCGCAAAGAAATTGCACAGAAAAACTACTTATTCTGTGCAACAAGCGAGAGCGTCTGATTTGTTGTGCGGACATAATCTTGCCATACTTGCCTTCAGAGTAAGTTATGTTCTCTGGCCACCTGCCTTCTATCTGCTTTTGTGCAAGAATGCTGAGTTGTCCTTGCGTTGGTTCAGTTTCTATATTTTTCCGGGGTTTCTAGCATGTTTATATTATGATACATGTTGCTTGGAACGCTTGTTTTCTTCGAATTATGCAATGACATGCTCTCTGTCCGAAACTACAATGGACGCGTTCATGCTTCACCGGTCTGCATATCTCTGGTTTTGTTTGCTGCACAGACAATTTAAAAGCTACAGCCTGTGTCTGCTCAAACAAAGCAATTGGTGTTACAGCCTGCGCGTTGAGTTCAAGCAAAACGGGGGCATCTCGGGCAAGGGGGAGGGGGGTTAGCATATCTATAATAGGTCAATCCATATTAGATCTGTCTCAAAGTGGGGAACCCCTAAAAAAGTGCGGTCTTCCTTTCATTCCCAGTTTCAAACAACCAGAGGCGCGTTTTGCCCTGCAAGCTGACCGTTTGTTCGCCCAGATGGCTTCCATCTCTTTCGAGGACATTAGCAGCCAGCCCAGATGGGAACCGCGCGGCTCGCGCGGGCAGCGTTTGGTTCTGTCGTACCCGAGGCTCCAATACCTACTTACTATATTTGGAAAAACCTGGTTTTCCAGAGGGTATATAATACCTCCTTTTGTCGTCGTTGACATAGGATATTTGGAGTATGAGGTAGGTAACCTGGATTTCTTCGGTGGATTGCAAGTACTGGAACAAGGCAATCGATTTCCAGTTTTACTTTGGTGTACTTGGGTTGCTTGCATTTTTCTGCAGCATCCACCGTACCTCCAGATAGTGGATGGCTTGCCCTTGTTGCCTAAGTGGTTTGCCTGGAAGCACGATTGAGAGGAGGGTGGGCTGTTGGGGTTGTTGGATTGAGACCCACTCGGAGCATCGGACAGAAACCAACGGGGGACCATTTCCAAGTCGATTCCTGTGTGTTTGTTGCTTCCATGTGAATCTGGGAAAATGCCAAAGGAAATCGATAGATGTTCTTTTGGCTTCTCATAAAACTAGTTCCAAGCTATATGTGTTGTTGTTTCTTTGCTCCTGCGTTCGCTCGTTTGTTTGTTTGTTTGTTTGTCTGTTCGCTCGTTTGTTCGTTCGTTCGTTCGTTCGTGCGTTCGCTCTTTGTTTGTTGTTTGCTTGCTTGTTTGTTTGCTGGTGTCTTTGTTCCGTGTTTCTTGGGGTGCTAAACGGCCAATGGTGCTTAGTTTCCTCCATCGGTGGCCAACATGTTTCTGTCCAGACCCCTCCTTTCCCAGCTGGCCACGGGTCAAAATCCCGGTTATCCCCCAGTGAACATCCCAATCCCCACTAAAATAGGTTCTGGTGAATTCACCTACCAACCAAAATGGCATCCCAAAACGGTTTTGACAACCACAGCCATATATACCTTCAATCACGAACAAAGCCTGTAGCAAAGAAACGCAGCCATGTCTTTTCCTGCCCAGAACCCATGCATGTGCGGCCTCTTCACGGCCTTGAGCGCAAGGCTCGACCCCAACCCCTCCTTAAGATGAGGTCTCCAGCTTCCGAGCGGCGAGCAGATCTTATCCGGCGCTCAGCACTCGGCTTTGCAAACCGCTTCGCTCCGATTCTGCAGCCGAAGCGCTAAAGGCGAGGTGAGGACTTCTTGGGCTGGTTTTCAAGAAAGAAACACAATCAGTCCCCTTTTTTCAGGACACCCCACCTTTGGGTATGTGTCAAAATTGAATTGTCCTTTGAGTTGCCCTTTAAACCAACCTGGAAAGAGTACCAACTCCAAAGGAACAAACCCAATGTCGTTCGGGGTATCTTCCGTTAAGTCTTTTTTCGTCAAGTTGGCCATGTTGGAAGGAACACGTGTTTTGGTTGTTGGGGTCCCCTATATGTGTGAAAATAGTTATGACATATATCTCATTTTAGCCACTCAAAGAACAAGTAAGGTTTGGGCGCTCAGGTGGTTTTTGGACGTGCCCTTCAAGGAACCTGTTCAGGGGAACCAGGCGGTTTTTTTTTGCCGAGGTCAGCGGAGAATTCCGGGCCGGGCGGATGTGTCCGCCTCATTTTGTGTCGGAGAAGCACCCAGGCTCGTTTTTCCAACCCCAAACCTAGCGATTCCATGTACCAGTATAGGTAACCAAGGGAAACACTCTTTAAAAGCAACGATCGGTAGGTTGGGAAAACAGGGTCTGCACGGAGTCATGAACAAAATGAATGCCAGGCGCCCGTTGATTTGAGCGTGGTTTATCAACCATTTCATCAACCCGTCGAATCGGGCTTCATCCATTCCACCCTCCATTTGCTGAAGAATATGTGTTATTTCCCTTGTTGGTTCTAGAGGGAAGTTACTACTGAAAATCTGCGTTTTTCTTCGCCTTTTTCCAGGAAGCTTCAGCCAATGGAAGGCACGTGTTGCGGATTTCGTGGCCACCCAGTCTGAGGTGTGCCATCATGGGCCCTTCGGGTGCTGGCAAAACCAGCGTGTGCCTCAGCTGTGAAGTCTTCGGAGAAATTCCGAACGTCGAGATGAGGCCTGATGAATGTGCTCTGTGGCAAGGCCGGTCCATGTTGCTTGACCAATGGGTTCTATCAAACGGGTTCCGAAGTCGGATGCCAAAAACATATGGCCATCAATTTTAAGCGGGAACCACCTGAAAAGAGATCGGACACGAATCGGGACCCACCGAATTCTGATGCCCACCAAAGGGTGCCTTCATACCCATATGAAGAGCGGTCAGAATTTGCGAAGAAGGACAGTAGTCTACACTTGACATCCATATAGCCCAAGGTGCTTGAAACCGTGGAAAACGATAGGGGACTCTCAAAAAACGCTACCTTTGTGTTACAGACCAAACGCTGGAAAACGATAGGGGACTCTCCAAATTCCAGCGTACTTCCTGTGAACAACAATTTTTGACGGAACTTCATATGAGTGTCCTGTTGCGATCGGAACCCGTTTCTTAGATCCCCGTGCTCTTGGCTCGGTCCTCTCACTGCGGACCGACGGCTTCCGGGTGCGTCTCTTTGTACAGGCGGCGTATGCGACTGCCACAGGGCCCCCGTCTCAGCTCCAAGTCTCCGATCAAGAACACAAAAGTGAAGCAGGGTCCCTTGAAGGATATAGAAAGCCGGCCATCCTCGGTTTCGTCACAGTTGGGCTAATCCATGTTTTTGCCTTCAGCTCATTCAGATGCATTGGGTGTCAGCAGGTGGTTTTGGGATGTATGTTGCGAGGAACCCTGAACAGCAGTGTCAGGACGGTGCGTTTCAATGGCCAAGAGGGAGAGTACGCTGACTACAAGACCGTCATGGGCTTCGTGCCCCAGGCCGGTTGTAGCTTGATGCGCCATGGATCACTTGCTTGATTTGCCCTTTCCCCAGAAACTGTGTTTTTGTTTTATTCAATGATGTTGGCAATAGTGCGTGGTTTATCAAACATGTGATATTGGGTTTGTCAAACTTTTTCTTGTGTTTGCTCTTTCCGAAGGAGAGGGACCCCCAGCTCCCGATTTATTTCGGAACATCCGGCACACGACACGACAGGAAGACGTGGTTCACGAAGGCCTCACGGTGTGGGCCCAAGCCTGGGTCCATTTCCAGCCGGGATTTGTTTGGGGAACATGTGACTCTGAGGGAGATCCAGGTCTGGGCGGTCAGTCTTTTTTGTTGGTTCCCCTTTTCTGGTTGATCAAAGAGAGACCAGATTGAGAACAGCCAATTTCTTTTGGGTGGGGGTCCAACCTTGAAAAGGCAGACCCGTGTTCCTTTGGCTTCACCAAGCTCTTGTCCAATGTGAGTGTCTCATTGCCATGTGAAATGAGTGGCTTTAAACTCCTTGGTTTGCCTCGAGGGCGCAAATCCGGGGGCGTCCATTGGGTTGAAGTCCACAAGTCGGGATGGTTTATGAGGTGCGTGGAGTCCATCCCAACTGGTGGGACCCGCACACAACAACGGGAGACTGTGGTTTTCACGCAGGTAACTGTGTGCTGGTGACCACATATGACACGGCCAAGAGGTTGGATGGTCGTTAGGTCCTTAGGGGATTCCTTTGGGCTGCTTAAAGTTAACCGGGACCATGGCCCACATGTTGGTTGAGTTTGGAGCCCGGCTCACACGGCCTTTCAAGACTTAGGTGGGCGAACAGATCCGCTTTTCGGCGGATCTCAGGAATGCCTATGACACGGAGGCAGGTTGGATCTGTATCACAGATAACTTTTCTTAGGACCCCCAACTACCCCCGATACCTCCAATTTTGATCTGGTGTGTTTGGGGGACCCACTCAGGGCTGGTATATGTAACTTGTTTGGGATGTGGTTTTCCCACTAAATGTAAACCGGTGCATGTTTTTTTCATGAGGCAATAGCCACCAAGAGGAGTAGATTGGAAAGCCAGGCACAGCTGGCTTGGCGAGCTTGGTTGAAAATAGAGGGGTTCCAGTAGGCTGGAATTAATCTATTGCACAAGGAGAATAGAATAAGTTGGCATCCGGAATTTATTTAAAAGAAGGAAACAATCAAACATCTGAACTCATCTATTTCAAACCGACTATCGATTGAGTTGCCAGTTTGGTTTCGTCTCAAAAAAAAAGGGACCTCCAAAAAAACTAATATATATATATATATATATTGGTTTCGCTTTAAAGCCAACCGACAACGGGGTACCCTCCAAAAGAGAGAGACCCATCGGAAGGCCGAGACGCGGAAGCCGGCGCCCTGGGCTCCGGTTCCTTGAGTTTGGGCTGAGTCGGTTTAGCTGGTTTGGGTTAGCTCTTTAGCTGGTTTAGCTTGGGTTGAGTGAGTCTTTTTTCATTTGGCTTTCTGGGTTTATGGGTCTTTAGTTTCATTTTAGGTAGGTTCCATTTCTCCCACTAAAGCTTGTTTTGCGTTTGTAGAGGTATAGTTATCATTTATCCCACTTAAATTTCGTTCGGTTAGCAGGGGGATCGGAGGGCAGCCCAGAAACCACAAATGTAAGGGCCAACTGTTGCAAGGCGCATTTGCGAGGACGTGCTGAAGGTGATGCAGTTAGATGGGCTTCAGAACAGGCCCTCAGTGTGGTCATCCGCTTCTTGTTGGCGGGAAGGGCATATTTGTTGGAAACGCGTTCTGTAGACCGGGAATCAGATTGGGGAGCACCCAAAGTACGCGGTTTGGCTTGTTCGACCCTTTCACACGTCATGTTGCCAGCACCAAAATCCTAACCTGCCTGCCGTTTCTGCAACCAGAATCCTGATCCGAAAAGCAGTGGGTGCTTGGCTTCAGTTCATTCAGGACCTCAGTCACTCGTTCCCAGGGGTTGTGGGATCACTTGAGGTTTACCCCTTACATGGGGGGACATGTCTTTTGGGAGGACCTGTGTGACAGATTCGTGGAATCCATTTCAACAGCCCCTGGTTCGCATCTCGCCAGTATCGTGGGGGGTCTGGAGCACCGCGGGATCTCCGGTGGCCAGCGCCCCTCGTCGGAAAATCGGTTCGGGCCAGAGGGCTGATTCCATAGGGGATGAACTGGCTGAAAATGGCGGGTCAGAAATGGAGGTAGATGGACAGGTCTCATGGGATGACCATTTGAAAACCACTCAAAAGATTTGAATTATTGAAGTCTGTACCATGGTGTTTTGGCAGGTTTACAACTTTAGACTATTTTAGTCCAAAACTGGTTGATTTCTCCCTTTTCAAGGTTGGTCTGAAAGGAAGCAGGAAGGACAACCGTTTTGGGTTCGCAAGGTTCACTCAAACCCAGTTGTTGCAAAGGCAAACCTCTGGGTTTCAGTCCAGCCTTGGGTAGTCTGAAAGGAGGTTTCCGCTCGGTCGAAACATAGCGTTTTTATATATATATATATATATATACACATACATATATATATATATACCATATTTAATATGAGTCCTTATCGGGTTTCATTTATTTTCACAAGGTAGACTCAAACCTATTGTCTTTGATCTTCCTGGGTAGTCAGAACCCAGTTTCCCTTCGTGAGCACAATTCAAACGGGGACGGAATCCTATTTCGCTAAAACCAGAAATGCGTACACCCAGAAGCCCAGAATTGCGTAAATGCCTTTTGCTTTCTAAAGCATCCAACAGGTGAATTTCCGTTAGAAGCCCAGAAGTGGGGCAAATATCAAGAAGCCCTTTGCATTCTTTGCGATGCCTTCAATGATTACCCCGGTTTCGTCGTGATTCGCCTTTTGGGGCAGAACTCAGAGTTTGACGAGTTCTGTTCAGCGTATGCATGGAGTCGATGTGGGACAGAGGGCCAACCAAACATCGGTTGATTCCTTCCCAAGATCCAAAAGAACAACCGACTTTCGGGTCCCAGGCCTGTTCTGAGGGGGGGGTCACCCCTTAAGTCAACCAAGGGGTGATATCCCCAGCCCGCAGTCGCAAGCCCGGGCTTCCAATGTTCGGAGCGAAGCCAAGGCCAAAGATTTTCGTGCCGATGGAAAATCCACAGGTTATGGGGTTCCCCCCGCGCGGCTCACCGCCTTCAAAGCGGTCCTCGGTTTCCCCTGGAGTAGCAAAAGTGATTGATTGGTACCCCATTGGCGTTTGGGAGGGGAGCCAAAACGAAGCCAACGAAAAAAAGGGGGGTTCTCAACTTCCGCAAGAACCACCAACAAGCAAAGCGCCAAAGCAGGACACCGTTGGTGAGAAAGCTTAGCAACCAACCACAAGAAACAAGTAAAAACAATCAAGGGTTGGACGAGGGACGCCAAGAAAAGAAGCTATCCGGGGCAAGAAACTCGGGGCCAAAAGCGTCCGGGTGCCAGACTCATGACGCGCCTCAGGTAAGCGGGTGAGCATCGGACTCGAGCTCGCAGCAGACCCCACAGCGCCTGTGCCGCATGCTCTCGGGACCCGGTCCCCGTACCACACCTGCGTTTTTTTTTTGTTTTTTTTTTTTTTTTTTTTTTTCCGGGGTGTCAAAGGACGTATTTTGAGGAATTCCCAAAATTCCATGATTAGGGCAATAAGAAAAACAAAGATGGTTGGTGGACATAGATCCCCATCCTCATGTCCACCAACAGGGTCCCTGATGTAAAGGTCATACCCATTCGAGCCATTAAAAGAGACCCCTTGGTCATGCTTAGCTTTTTGTGGGGAGTAAGAAATGATGAGCAGTCCTATTGAGGGAATTAACTTGATCATGTGAGGTTCGGCCGGGAAAAAAAAGAAGAAGAAACAATCATAAGGTCCTTATTTTGACGCACTTGAGTTGGCTGCGGGTTTTAAACCGTAATCGCCTCAAAAGTGGTTGTTGGACAGAAATCCGCGCCTAAACGGTCCCCTTATTCAAGTCAATTAGTCAGTTAGTATGGACACGTGTCTCAGAATGTGGGGCACCCTCAATTTCAGTTGTTCCCCTCAGCTGCCCAAAAGAGCCATCCTTGAAAAGGGTACCTTCAAAAAACACACACAAACAGACACACAGACACACACACACACACAGACCTCACGCAGACACAAAGAGCCCGCCCACACAATCCCACACATACCCATTTGGCTGTGGGTCAAAACCAATGGTACCATTTTAAAAAGGGTAGGTGCACGTACCATCCATTTTAGTCTATTCTGGAGGGGATTGGCATGTTCACTGGGGGTACGGGCTTTGGATTTTGACCCACGGCCATTTGAAGACCTGGCAAGCTCAGATGCTTTTCCTCGACGAGCCGACCAGCGGACTTGATGCCGCGAGCTCGCTGCAGATCGACGCTTGGACGGATTTTTTTCGCTGACTCCGCACAGGGACCTTCAACCAACGTCAGACTACGTAGGTTGCAACCGTGGTGAGGAAACTGGGGGAAACTAGTCCTACTTGGGATCCGCAAAAAAAGAAACAGGGTTACAACCTGGTTGAACGCCCAAGCATGGTTGTGTCCCGCTGTCAAAGAGTAACTTCCGAACCTAGAAAAATGCCTGTTTACCTATAGTAGAAGTACTGGCTTGATTCGAAGATTCAATTGAGTCTCAATCAAAGCCCGGGTAGATGAAGGCTAGTAGGGCGCAGTTTCCGCCCTGAAATAGTTGTGGCCGTCGCTTCGACTCCTTACATGATTCTGGGTTCACCATGTTTGTACCAGGTTTTGATTATGACTCATTTTTTCCATTAGACCTACATACAAAAGGCCAGATCCTTTGCTTGGGACACATAGATCCATGGCCCTGATCCACCTAAGAGTTTTGACACGCATGTTTCAGTGTTTGGTTCCAAGGTGCCATTGTGGTATATGTGTTTGAACGGATTAAACACTGGGATAAAATGGGACGAGCCACGCACCAACTGGTGGAGGATGTTTGATAGTAGACATTTATGATATGGTTGAATGAATGTTGGATTAGATTTGGCATATCAATTACCAACAGGATTTGAATTGGATATGTAAATGACTTGGAATAGATATGCTAAGACATAGTTAGAGCACATTGGAACGCATTCTATATGGACTGCTTGTTAAGTATGGCAAGGGGTACGACGACTATATACATACACACGAAGCATAATGCACATGTAATATAATGAATCGATTACGCATACTGATTCAGTCTGCTGTCAGTATAACGCTTAGAATGAAACATGTAGATATGCATCTTTCTGATGATAAGAATAAGTATTATGTGTTAATGTGCATGGGTAGCTAGATTGTGTGGCAGGCGCAGCACTTTCGCAACGTCTCAGGCACAGAATTCGTGGCAAGCGCAGCACTTTCGCAAGGCCGACAGATAGATAGATAGATAGATAGATAGATAGACTGAGCTAGACAAATAGAAAATATATAGAGACATAAGGTAGGTAGATAGCGAGCTAAATAGGTAGATAGATAGGTAGATAGATAGGTAGATAGATAGGTAGATAGATAGACAGTAGAGAGAGCGACAGAGAGATAGGTAGATAAATAGACAGATAGGTAGAGAGGCAAATAGAGAGGGGGAGAGATAGACAGAGGTAGGTAGAGAGAGAGAGGGGGAAATAGATAGATAGGTATAAATGGATGGGTAGGTACGATAGACCAAGAGGTAAGATAGGCAGATAAATGGGTAGGTGCATAGATAGAGGACACATAGATAGAGATAGCCCAGACTAAAAAGAAAGAACAACAACAATAATGAACTGAATAACTAAATGCAGAAAGGAAGGAAAGGGAAGGAAAGGAAAGGAAGGAGGGCAGAAACAAAAGAAAGGAAGGAAGGAAGAAAGGGAGCAAGAACAAGAAGGGAGGAAGGGAGGAAGAAAGAACGAGACAAGTACATAAAGAAAGATGGCCAGAAACAATGCAAAGAAAGAAGGAAGGAAATAAAATAAATACAATCAAGAACAGAAAGAGAAAGCTGACTATAGTTTGTATATTTGGCAGTTCTTCTTTTGGGTTTTGAAGGGTGGTTCCCTTGGCTTCCGACTACACAGGCAACTTTTGCAATCATTGGGCTTACTGCATCAACCGTTTGGGAAGCCTTCAAGGGAAGCACAATATCCTGCCAAAGGCACTTTTTTCTGCATCATTTCGGCAGGACAGGGGACTCAGTCCATTGGGGGTTTAGGTTTTCCTTTGGCATTCCACAGATCCATCGGATCCACCCGGATCCATGCGAGGTGCAGTCCTTGAAGCGGATGGGGCAGCTTCTTGGCCGCCAACCGTCGTTCGGGGCTCGGCGGGTGCCGGCGTGGGATTCAGCGCGTCAGGTTGGGCATGACCAGCGTGATGGTGGTTCATCAGCAGCGGTCCCAGAGCTGCGTCTTCGAGAAAACATCCCCTCCCCCCCAAAACAGTTCTAAGGTGCTGCTTTCGGTTTTCGTTTCCTTGAATGAACATGGTGAAAGGGTGACATGCCCAAACAGTCGCACACACCCATCTGAACAAGAATGACGCCATACTTCATGCGAGCGCAAAGCGAGATAGGGGCACTCGCGCTCCGGCCGAGGCCGCGGTACTCGCTGTTCTCCCTATTTGATGACGTCCTCTTGCTGGGTAAGGGAGGCAAGCAGCGAGTGCTCGGCACTCCATGAATTTTCTCTACGTTTTTGTTTTTTGACCACACATGAGGCCTGGCATGTCCAGTCCCAGTGTTTCTTCGGTGCTGGATAAGTATGGTTACCTGGCTGCCCACCAGAACGACTTGCCTGGAAGCACATTTTTGGCGGTTCAAGAGCCATTCGCTCGGCACGCAGGACGAACGGTCTACTTTGGCCCTCCTTCATCTGCGAGGGAGTGCGCCTAGCGAGTCCATGCGAATCAGCGCACAGCCAGCACCGAATGTCTTGCCAGGTATTTCGAGCGCTGGTCCCTCAGTTCCCAGTGATTATAGTAGGTGACCAACCATCCAATAGACAACCCGACAGAACAAAAATGTTGGTTACCTACTATAAGTGGCTTGCCTGGGATTCACTCGGCCTTTGGTTTTGGTCGACGCAAACGTCAGATGTGAGGCCTGGGATTCCTCATGCCGCTCTCTGAGAACCCAGCGGATTGGTTTATGGACCTCATCGCGGGTGAGGCTTGAGGGAAGCTTCAAGAAGCCCATGGATTCTGCCTACCATCTTGGAGGGGTCCCCTAAGAAAAGACGAGCCACCCAGAAGGGTTTCAGGCTCTGGAAGCATAACGAGCTCACCAAGTAGGTCCTTTACTTGGGCATCCCGAGTTTCAGATTTTGGACTTGTTTTATTGGAGTTCAGAGAAGCGGGGCTTTGCACTTTTCCAGACTAAGCAGAAGGGCCGCATTATGGGAGGGTCCAAGCAAAAGCCAGACCCAAAAGCAAAGCCCGAACCCGTCAGGTGCCGAATGTCCGAATCCCGCAGTTCGTGCCAGACATGCTCTTCGACATTTGGGAGGCTGAGAAGTACGAGTTGTGTCGAATATCAGCTTCCCTCGTTCTTTGGTGATTTGAAGCTTGGCGGTTTGGTGCTTAGGGGTGGTTTCCCGTTGACCTTCTACAAGAACCGGGCGTTCAAATCCCCAAATCACCAAGGGGTACCTGAGAATGGGTGCCTTCCTGACATTTGTTGCCTCGGCAGTTGAACAAAGACCGAGTGGAAAGAACGCAACGCGCCAGCTGCTCAGTCTTCTGATGGACCATATCCACGCAGCAGTGGGGGTGCACCCTCCTGTCCACTAACATGGAAACTGACTGTGGGGTCCTCGAAGACTCTTTCCTTTAAAAGGGAGCTACATGGTGAGTTCCATGTTAGTGCACGGGAGGCCATTTACCAGCGAGCACTCAAAGGAAAACCCACTCATTTTGCTTTCGGGCCCACAAGGAGGAGGAGCAGGCCTTGATAGAGGTCAACGAGTGGGAGGCGCGATTTCAACAAGTTCGATCCGCCAGAGACATGGTTGCGGGGAATCGTGGGGAATCGAATAGAGTTTCTCAGAATATGGGGCTCCAACAGTGGCATCTCCTGTTTGGAACAACGTGTCACGTATGTATGCGTAAAATTGGGGACCCAGGAAAATGGTTGGTTTCCTTGTGGTGTCCCTTTAATCACCACCAAAATGAGGGTCCACCATTTGGAGAAGCCGTATTATGGGTGTGTCACTTTCATGACAGCAAGCAAATCCCCTGAGTGATCCAGTATTCTTGGAGGGGAATCACCCACTTTGATATCACAAAGCGGATGTTCCGCAACCCGAGATTCTCTCTGATCGCTGTGCAGGAGCTGGTGAAGAAGCTCGGGGAAGAGTGGCGGCCACCTCATCCGGAGGTCGCTTGAGCAGTAGCGGTTGAAGCACAATCATGTGTGTTTCCTTGGCTCCCGGCCATCCGGTCCCTTAGCTGTTTAGGTTGTCGGGGTTTAGAGTCACTTCGCTTCCGCTTCCGCTTTGGGAGCATCCGTGGGACGGGTGCAAGTATTCAGACCAGATGCTCCATCGTTTCCAGTCATCCGACAAAACATGAGCAACCAAGAGGATGCTGAGTTCAACGTACTTGAAGCGAGCTGTTGACCTTTTGGTTTCCCCTTGATCCATTTTGAGCGACCCCAAAAACGTCCCTCTTCAAGGTTATTGCACCAAATGGGGGGTTGAATTCTCCTTGTAACCAAACAGAGTTAAGCATGCCCCCTGCTCCAAAGTACCCCGCTTCTTCTTAGAGTATATTTTGGAAGACCTGATTGTCCATTTGGCAAATGTCAACCCCAGAAGTGACCCATGTAGAACCCCACATTTTGGGCCAAACTGTGGGCCACCAGTTGCGGTCTACGTCCATTCCGGGGCTCCACGAGCCACGGGCCACGGGCCACGGGCCACGGGCCCGGGTCCCAGGCCGCGGATCAGCTATCGCAACGCGCCCTCGGCCATGGATCCTCGCCGTGGGGCCCTGAAGCCGAGCGCATGGCGTCGGGGAACATCGAAAGCGACGTGGGGGTGGGGGATGGGGGGGGGGTTGTAGTTAGACGGATGGGTGCTTTCCCGTCCGTCGGATGGCATTTTTTCCCATACCCCCCCCCCACACTTTCAAGCACTTTTCAAAGCCACTTATCAAATTACACCATTCAAAACCACCAAATTGAACAACCCTCTAAGTTAATCATTAGAAAAATAATGTTCTAATGATCAACTTCATTTTTTAGTCCAATTCACCACCATCAGCCTGATCAACTTTCTTTCTTCGCAAAGCTGGATTATACAAAGGCATTGTCATTTTGAGTTCTTGTATCCTCTCTTGACCTTCTTGAAAATATTTGTCCTTGAATTCTTGTGTAGGTGCTTCTTCAACTAATCGTTCATAATCTGCTTTCAAGTATTTGAGTATATTATCTTGGTGACAACCTCCAACCAAATGGAAGTCCCAAATTTCTGGGTTCACTCTTCTTTCACAAACATGGCAATACAAATATCCATTATTCGCTGTTTTCTCTCTACGCTTCTGATTAATTTCCTCGCGATTTGCTTCAAGATACTGTTTCCGGTATTCTTTCCTCTTGTCTACAGTTCGTGTCCGATAGTCCCGTTTTTGATCAATGCATTTATCGCAATTTTTGAGTCCATACACGAAACTATCTTCACCTTTCTCGTATCTACATCTTGAACACAGTTTTTTCTCCATACTATAGTAGGACACCTTGCCTTTAGATGGCTACAACCCTATTTTCAACAAATTATCACTCCCCGAAAAATGGTTAACCAATGGAAAAGGGAGAATTAAAACCGTTAACCCAAATCTTGAAAACAATCCCAGTAAAATATGGATGGCAAAATGCGGATGGGAAAGGCCTATGTAGGAAAGCACCACCACGGCTTATACGGGAAACCTATACTATAATTGCAACATATAAGATCTTACATGTTATAAGTATAGTAAAACTATGGTATTAAAGGCTTTAATCTATGTATTTCCATGGGTTGTATTCGTTTCTTCTGTTCCTTCCTTAACTCTTTTGTTGCTTTCACTTTGTCTATGCATTCCTTACATGATTTGTAAAATATCTCTTCCATTTTAATTCTATCATACATTTTGTGAAAATCCTTTCTTGGCTTTGCTTCGTCGCATTTACTGCAATGATAAACCATTGTGCATCCTGTTTCTTCTTCGTCATCTGTAGAACTCATAATATTAGTTATGCCAATATGTCTTTAAACGGATTTTCAGAGAAAAATGTTTTCAATCAAGAATAAATCCCTGTATCTTCATCATAGTCGATTTGATAAAATGTCATAGTTGAAGCCTTCGGTTCTTTAATTTCTTTGTTATTAAGTTTGTTTAAGTAAATGTTTCTTTTATTTTTATATTCACCATTGGTTCGATCTACTTCCTTACTTTGATAACTGTTTGTTAACGGTTTCTTCTTTTCCATTTCTTGTAAGATTTCTAAAATATTCTTGTTCTGTTCTAAAACCTTGTTCAGTTTTTTAACCATCTTTTCTAATCCTTCATCCATGTAAATATATATATATATTGTATTATAAATAAAACTTTTAAAACTAAATGTTTAAATTATGTTAAATCTACTCTTTAAATACTAATTTTTCATCATTTGTTTAACAGTTTCCTGTGTTTCGTTTTCTCCATTATCGGATGGAGTAGCGTTCCGACCCCATTTAAATGTAATATTATGAACATCTGTTTCTAAGTTGATACTGTCTTTAGTTTTATCAATATTCATTTTCTTATCATTCTTACTTAGTTTGAAACTTGTCGGAATACACGAACATTTACAGTTTCCTTTCTTTTGTATTTCTAATTCATTCTTCATTTCTAACATCTTTTTACACATTGGACAAGCAAACTCAATAACTGATGTTTCTTTAACAATTTCTTCTTTTTCTTCATCAGTTGAAGAAACAACTGGTTCAGTCTCAATCTTTTTCTTTCTTCCCATTTATATTAATATTTACATTTTTATTTTTGATATTTTGTATCACAAACTTAATTATTTCTCAAACAAAATAGCATATTTTCTTGCATCTATTATCAGTTATAACAACTTGTTCTAAATTCTCTACTTCATCTATTATATCAATATAATCTGAATAGCTTCTATTCATATAAAATAATAAATGTAAAATATTTTCTAAATAGCTTTAATATTATTTTATTATGTCAGATGTTCCAATAACAAAGCCAATAAACATAACTGAATATGAATTCAAACAATCTAAATATGAGCACGTGCCAAAATTACCATTTAGAAGTATTATAGTTGCGAGTTCGACAGGTGGCAAAACAGTCTTGGTTCAGAACCTTATCTTAAATGTTTATAGAAGTTAATTTGCAAGAATATTTATATTTTCCCCCAGCGTTCATAATGACCCAACCTTTACAGAAGTTAAAAAATATATCAGGGATGAATTGCACGTGGATGATGAAAAAGAACAAATTTATTTTGATAATTATAATCCAAGTGATTTAGAAAATGTATTTGAAAGACAGAAGAAAATAATTAATTATATGAAATCTAAAAAGATAAAGAAACTACATTCAATATTAATCGTTATAGACGATCATGCCGACGATCCTAAATTTGTTAGATATAGTAAATTATTACATGGATTATTTACAAGAGGTAGGCACGATGCAGTAAGCGTAATTTGTTCAACACAGAAATATAATGTGTTGGCGCCTATCATTCGTTTAAATGCCAGTTCATTATATATTTTTAGGTTGAAAAATGCCAGTGAATTAATGAGTTTTATTGAAGAAAATAGCGCCATTGTTGACAAACAGCAATTATTAGATATGTATCATCAAGCAGTGAATGACGCACCTTATAGTTTCTTCTACGTGAATATGAATGCTAAGAATGTGAATGACATGTTTTTTCTCCGTTTTGAACAGGCATTTCAAATTACAAATGATGAATAAAGATATTCTAATTTAATATAATATAATAATATGCTAATGAAACTATGTAGATGTGGTGGATTTTATCGTAGAGGTAATTACAATTTTCATACTAATTCTTGGATACATAAACTTTATAAAGTGTTAAAAAGACGACCAACAGACGAGGAATTATTAAGATTTCAACATAACTTTGTTGATGAAGAAGATTTAATAGATGATATGTGTAGCAATGCCTCAACAAAATTACCAGAAGATGAAATGACAGATTATGATAGTAATTAATAATATTAATGTATGTTAATATTATCAATTTAGAATAAGGAATAGCTACATAAATTTAAGGCAGGAAATTTATAATATCTTTTTTACATTCATTAACTTTTTCTAATTTATTTATTATTGCTTTCAATGAATTTATTTGTAGAATATCAATTCTTGACATTTCACTTATCGTATTTACATCTATATCTTTTATTACTTTAATAGCCTTTTCATCATCAATTTCTACTGGTTTTGATTTACTTGAACCCATTATATATAATATTATTTAGATTTTGATTTTTCAAAATTATATTTTTGTTTTTCTTCTCCGTCTTCTTCTTCTTCGTCTTCAGTTGGTGCTGGTATTTCTGTTGGACTTTCAGATGAAGAACTATGAACAGTAATAGGTGGCGAACTATGAACACTAATAGCTTCATTTGATGAATTGCTACTGCTACCTTGTGCATTTCCTGCTGTTATTTGATTAACTAAATCTGCGATATTTATTGTTGTTGCAATTGCGCTATGTGATAAGTTTAATATTATATCTGCTACTGTAGCGCCGTTGTGTAGCATTATTTCTATCATTTTTGTCAGTTTGAACTTCTTTTCTTCTTCATCGCTGTCCTCCTCGTCTGGTGGTTTCTTTGGCGGTGGTTCTGGTGGTTTGTTGTTGTCAAGCATTGTAGTAAAGGCTGACACCATTGCATCGCGTTGGTTTTTCAGGGTTTGTGTTGCTTGCGTTCTTGTTGGCTCATGTCTTTTGTATGTGTTGTGCCAAAAGTTTTTAAGCATTATTTTAAACATATTGTCTTGGTTTTCCTTTACCTTAAACGCTTCAAATGTCATATTTAATTGCTGATTTGCATCATTGTATAACTTTTATTGAGTCTCTCTGGTTTCTGTTGCAATTGTATCTGTATTGGTTGCAATGTCAATAAATTCTCTCGGTATGCCTTTTTTCATCATTTTCGGTGGTTGTATTGTTGTTGGTGTGTTTGGTTTTGTTAGGTTATGTATTGAAAAACTGTCGTCGTGATCATATTTATCATTGAACTTCTGCTTCTTTCTTTTCAGTATATTTTTAGTTAATATTATCATTATTATTACTATTTATATTTTTATTTCTTACCTTTACCCTTAAAACTTGCCTTGAGTTCTTCTATTCTACCTCTGCTTAAATTTGCTATCCAACCGCCGTTATCAATAGTGTCTAAAATCATATCCACTAAATATTCTTTGTATGTTCTCGCCTTGCCTCTTCCCTTTTGTTTCAATTCTTCTTGTATTTCGCTTTCTTCTGGCACTTGAATTCCTCTTAAATAAAACTGAAATTTAATATCATTTACTGTTAAATTAGGGTTGTCTTTCCAGTAAGCGGGACTAATAGTATTATCTATTGTTGTTTTAAACAATGGCGTCATTGGCAATGGTGGTGGTTGTTGGGTTGTTGAACTTGATGCTCCTGTTGCTTGTTGAACTGGTGTCGCGTCAAAATTGTCATCTACTGCTTGAGGTGATTGTTCAACATCTTCTACGTGCATTGTTTGCTGGTCGTCTGCTACTGCTCCACCTGCTGGCGCTTGACGTGGTTCTGTTGGTGCTGATTGTCTGTTTGCCACCATTTTATGAAATATTGTCCCGCCCATCTCTCTTAAATTTGATGCCATCGCTCTGCCTACTTCTTCCGCTTTCCGCTTTGTTGCAGTTGCTATATCTTGTAATTGTGTATCTACCATTGCCTCGTGTTGTCTTGTCGTTTGT